TAGACATTACGGAGAAATATACTGTCACTGAACTTCTCACGCTTTTGGCAAAGGGCGACTTGTCGGCCCTCGAGGTCACGGTGGCGTTTTCTAAACGTGCGGCTCTAGCACAGCAACTCGTGCGTCACTTTGATTAACGTCATACACATATACATGGCTAATCCGGTTCTAGCTGTCATGCCTTACGGAAACGTACTTTACCGAAGCACAGGAACGGGCCCGCTTTCTTGATAACGAACGTGCCCAGGGACGTATCGTAGGTCCACTCCATGGCTTGCCTGTCAGTGTCAAGGACGGGTTCAAGATCAAGGGCTCGGCGTCTACCATTGGATATGTCTCATTTCTAGACCATCCCAATGACACTGAGAACTCACCACTCGTCGACATTCTGCTTGACTTGGGAGCGGTCATCTATGTCAAGACCAACCTTCCCCAAACGTTGATGGTATGTTCAATCCAATTCCGGATAGCCCATGCACAAGTACTAACGTAGTATAGACGGCTGACTCGGAGAACAACGTCTTTGGTCGCACACTGAACCCGCACAACACCACGCTTACAGCGGGAGGTTCGAGCGGTGGCGAAGGCGCCCTTGTTGGCTTCCGAGGATCACCGCTGGGTATCGGAACAGACATCGCAGGCTCTATCCGTATTCCAGCACTCTGCTGCGGCACATATGGTTTCAAGCCGACAACCGCACGTGTACCTGACGGAGGTCAGCAGAACCCTTCACTCCCTGGCAACATCTTCTTCAACCCGTCAGCCGGGCCGCTAGCAAATGACATGCCTGCTCTGGACCTCCTTTGCAAATCCGTCATGTCGGTCAGACCAGCCCTCTACGACCCCACTGCGCTGGACATCCCCTGGCGAGAATTACCGAAGCCAGCACCGAAGCTTAGACTGGGGCTCGTGGCCGAGGACCCTGCGTTCCCGTTGCACCCACCAGTCAAGCGCGCACTAGCCTCAGCAGCCAAAGCTCTCGCAGTCCAGGGCCACGAGATCGTCCCCATCTCCGCCGACCAAGCCCAAGTCGCCGATAGTTTGGCAGTAGCCTTTGGCTTCTTCATGCTCGACCACACAGGCATGGAGTTCCTACACGACGGCCACGAGCCCACCGTCCGCTCAGTCGAGCAATCCATGGGCGCATACCACAACTTCAAATCCACCTTCCTCGACGACATCGCCGCAATCCCTCAAGGCACTATGCAACACATTGCCGCGCTAAACGTAAAGCGCGAGCTAATCCAAGACAACTGGCGTAAAATCTGGAAAAACCAAAGACTCGACGCCGTCATCGGGCCTTCAGCTCAGAACACGGCCATTCCTCATGACACGTATGGTCTCCCACCTTACACTCTGTTTCTCAATGTCCTCGATTACCCTGCTGCTGTGCTGCCGTTTGGCAAGGCTGACGCTACGCTTGACGCCCAACCCTTGGTTATGAGACCGGGACAGAATGGGCCGGATTATCATCCCAAGGCTAGCCATGGTGCGCCGCTTTCCGTACAGGTTTTTACGAATAAGATGCGTGATGAGGAGTGTTTGCAGGTTGCGGCTGTGGTGGATGAGTGTTTGAAGGCTGTGCAGTAGTTGGGGTTACGGGATTGGAGGGGATTGGGTTAGGTATAGAGATAGATAGAGTGGTATAATACATTTTTACCTTGTCATTATGAAATCCAAAGTCAGACTTCACCATCCGGAAACCAGACGCGTGGGCACGAACCTTCACACTTGACCCTTTACCATGGCGATAAGCTCCTTCCCTGCCCACATCCTCCTTCCTCCCTTGCCAGACCCGAACCCTAATGCACGCAATACAAAACCAACCCCAATCCACAAATAACCTAGAACCCGGTCCCGAGTCATCCGGCGAACTTACGTGTGCCCACCAGCCCACCACCGTACCGTATCTCTACGTATCTCGCACTAAGCCCGTATTCGGTAGCTGCGGAATGGGAAGGATGGAAGATACTAGGTACAAGCGAGCGAGATACTCGAGATAACTGAGATACCGTACTGGAGATAGTGAGATAACGCACATGGGGGTTATGTACATGGGGTTCCACAAGCCGGGTTTTCTATCCTACCCGGTTCACGCAAAGATAACGACGGGTGATGGACGGACGAAGGTGATGAGAATTGAAGTCAATGCCAAGCATCGTCGTCGTCTAGATGTCCAGATATCAACGCATCTGACAGCCAGCCAGCTGGCCAGACAGACAAGCAAACAAGAATTCATCTATCAAACTATCGAATCACCTCCTCGGCATCTGGCCTACAATGACACCGTCCTCAAACCTGCCTTTTCCATCCATCCATCCAAAAATATGACAAACCACGTCTCGATCTTCACCATTCCTTTCTAACCCGCTTCCGTCCACCAACCTAGCGCGACAGGGTCCCGCATTGACTTGCCTATTTCGTATATGTCCATGCGTCCATACATCCGTGCCCACGCATGCGGGCGGAGGTTGTGCCAAGGTGTTGTGTAAGCAATAAGCGCTAGTTATAATATCTGGCGATATCTAGCGTGCACGGGTTGGTATCTTGGGTCTCTTGGGTGCACGGCTGCACGGGATTATCCCAGGGGAGGTTATCTACTAGGCACGGATGGGATGCATATGCGGGAGGCTGATGCGTGTGTTACAAAGCATGCATACATAGGGTGGGGTTCTAGAGCGCAGGAGGTGATGCGGCGCAGCACAATGAACGGCCGTTTTTGCTTACCTATGGTTCTTACGATGGCTGTGGCTGTGGCTGTGCGAAACGTCGCTACAGTGTTTTTCTCACCATCTACCATGTTATCAATAGCCACGCGTGGATGTAGTCGGATAGGAGACCGCTTCGTGTAGGTTAACTTAGCCACCTTGCGCGGATGCAGACGGACGGATCGCGCATGGAGTTACGTAATCAACGTACGGACGGATTAACATGATTTTCTTTTTCCCTTTCGCGATGGAAAAAGATGTAGTTTGACAGAGAGAAAGTATTGCGATATTGCGCGCTGGTCATGCTTATTCCTTCGTTCTTCTTGTCTTAACGCTGACGCTGACACCGAACGGCTTTGTTGGTTACCTGTGCCTGTGCATCGTGAGTTTGAATTTACAGCAGGTTGCGCGTGCTGACGTTGTAGTTAGTCAGGACTCAGAAATGCCGCTTGTTTCATCGCGCTTACACGTTAGATCTGCCTTGGCGCATAGGCTGCGCGCGGGATTGTGTTTTTTTTTTCGGGGGAGGGAGGGGGGTATTGTATCATAGGTTCTTGTCGTGCGTGACGTGGCATGGGTGTCTTGTATGTGTGGAACGGTAGATGGGATAGGCAGATTATATGTCGCGGGAGTGGAGTTTGACATGGCTTATGAGATGGGGATGGAGGTAAGATGATGAAATGAGGTTTGATTGCGTAGAAATGCGTTTTGGCGGCTTTTTGCATGGTATCCTCATCATAGGGGTTTGTACAAGAAGGCGGTTGGGTCCGGGTGGAACAGCACTTGTTATCATTTTTCTTCTTGTCGTCGATTTACGTTCTTTACTCTTTGGCTACGTCACCATGTTGTCTTTCGTCTCCGTCTCCGGTAACGAAAACCCCGGCCATCATGTCCACTTTACAGAAGACGATGCATCTCCATCTTCCCGACGCCTTTACCTCAAAACTTAACATGCAGTCAAATGAGAGCGACGAAAATACATTGGGCCATTCACATCATCTTCCACGCCCTTCGCAATTATCACCGCTATCGCAATCACTTCAGGACCCTACAACTAGCCGTCTAGCACAGCGAAAACTACCCCCAACTCTACCAGGCACACTCACAACCCCAGAGGAGAAAGAGAAGTAGGATGCGAAAAGCTCCGGAGAGCTTCGTCAAAAAGACCCAAAATAAACAAACAGTACGTTCACAGCCCAAAATAACCAACCCCATGTACGCAAATCCCACAACTGACACAACCAGCACCAGCACCAGCCAAAACCAACCACCCGCTCAAACCACCATCAAGCTTCTACACACAGTCATACCTACCCCATCTAACCATCTCCCCCCTCCCCGCAACCCCACACGTGCCCTTCCCGCATCAACACCACGGCCCCGCCTACCAGTAACAGCTAGCCGCCGCCGCTGCTCCCTCCTTCCTTCCTTCCTAGTAAACCCCGCCCGCATCGCCATCGTATCGAAGCCGCATGCGAGGTATTTCCACACCTACACCTATGTTCTATGAAACACTTGTACAGTATACTCAAGAGCCTGACAGGCGTGTCTAGCGACTACAGTGGCCTCTTACACTAGTATACCACGAATTTCATATCACCAGAGTGTCTATTCCACGACCGCATCTACCGCTGTCATGGTTCGGTATACTAGTTGATCAATTACCTGAAAAGGAAGGTTGAAATGTCACCTTTCAGCGATCAACTCGGGGTATAGGACGGAAACGGGGGTAGGCGCTGTGGATAGGCCTCGTTCCGGGACGGTTGGTGCTTACGGTTGGATCGTCGGAGTCTGGGGTTGATTTCGATACGAGGGGGTGGATGCGGTTAGGTATTGCGTGGGCTTAGGCTTGGCTGTGGGGATGGGGTGGGCACTTGGCTAGGTGATGTAGATGTCACTGCTTGGCGGGGGATAGATATTTGATTTTTGGCTGCATAGTGCATTGAAAAGAATATAAACATAGATGAAACTTGTATAACTATTCGTGTTCAAGTTATAGGTGAATTACCTAAAACTTCCCTAGCAACACTACCGGGAGAAATCGAAGAAAGAACGTTCTTTACTCGCGGGCACGGCATCGCTTTCAATAGTAACGGTAACAGTACTCGTCTGCATGATTCCCAAATCATCACCTCCCCGTGAATGTAATGTTCGCCCTGGACTTCTAAGGCCCATTTCCTCGTCCAGAATGCCGCGTTGGCTGGAACTGTCATTGTCCTGCATTATAGTCCACCTGGATTCTTTTTTGTGTGCGCTCGAGGCATGTACGCTTGTGGTGGTGGTGGAGTGTTGGCTCTGGTGTAGGCGTGATAAGGGGATGCTGCAGGCGGTGGAGTGCGTGTGGGGGCGGTAGGAGGAGATTGTTTCTTTGAGGAAGACGCGGAGGACGGGGATGGAGGCTGCGATTATGGCGGTGGCGGTTTCGACGGTGGTCCATATTGTGAGTTCTTTGCCATTGTAGGAGAAGTCTTGTTGACGGAGTTGGATTACGTAGACACCTTTTGCGATTGCGCAAACGCCCGAGCTGGGAGGTTGTTAGCGATTGTGGATGGCTTTGGTCTCGCAATCATCTTTAGGTCGCATAGGATGATCGGAAACGATAATGGACGGTATACGTACAGAACACCCATACTCATGGCAATACCCACGCCAATCTTCTCACGTAGTCGCAGTTGTAAACCCCAAATTAGGTACCATGGCAATAGGGCAAGCGCAAAGTCAGCCGCGGCACACCAAGCAGCGTTGAAAATGCCATAGTTGACTGTTCGACTCGGATCCCAACATGTTCCTTCAATGGAACTATTCCACGCTTTCGCAGCGGGCCTGCATGCGATCCAAGTGCTCATTGAGCTGGGTATCATGATAAGGAATAGTGTGATTATGCAGAACCACACAAATGCGCGCACGTAGCCGGTGGTAAGTCGGAGGAGAGTAACACCGAAAGAGATTTTGGAAAGTGTTGAGGCGAAGCAAGAAATCGAGGCTGCAATGGAGCTGCCCAAGGCAATGGTGACGAGGTTCTCGACTGGAATATCAGAGGTGCGTTTTCCGAAGCCCATTAATTGTCCTGCTTGGGTCATGACACATTGGGCAAGGAGGAGGACCTGTTACACTCGAGTTAGAATCAACGCCAATGCGTATTCAACTGCAAGTCTTACCCATGATACTATTAGGATATGGTCATCCCACCAAAGGCCTTGCTTGCGACTCAATTTCGCATATATCCTCGTTCCCAAAAATCCACCACAAGCAATGGTCAACCACCAAGTCACACCAACAATCACTGGCCCATTGTCAGGCACGGCCATGTCAAACCAGGTCAATCCGGAGGGTCACTCGTTATTAGTAACCGAAAGAAGTATGCAGTCATACGTAATCGGCATTCACGCACAGATGGGGAGAAGAAAAACAAAGAATGTAGGTTGCGGGAGGGGGCGAAGCCGTCTTTGCAAGATCCACGCTGGACTCGCGTACACAATGCTCTCAATACCCACAAGCTAAATGCACGCTATATCGGTGTTCGCCGTGGTTGGGTCATAAAGGAGAATTACTAGAGATGGGATGCTTGACAGATGCTCTGACACGCGACATGGCGCGTTTGGAATGAATGCACTAGGAGCAATGATTCCCGCTGGTTGGGTGGCATGGGCGTGGGTTAGTACATGTTCAGAACTGCATCCGTCCTCGCTCCCGAGCGCAGACCTCGTGCACCAAATGGGTGATCATGTTTTCGCAAAAGACGGCCATTGGACGGAGCTTCAACCGTGAAAGGCAGCCAAGGTGTGCACAGAGGAGAAAACATCTTCATGCGTACCGTACGTCGCAAGGTTGCCTCTTCCAGGGACCGGGCCATCGGGGATGACTAGGCAGTAAAGGTGATGCAAGCTGATGAAGGGGGGAGGTGGAAAGTAGAATGAGTTGAATGCGCGGGCGGAGCGGCCGGTGCTCCTTTGCGGATCGCCACCGAGGAAGTCTCAGACCACACGGGAGGATTAACGATCGATCTTCGGCCGATCTATCCTCTCGTATCTCAGCCGGAGCTCGACTCGTATTATGTGCAACGAGGATGCTTCTAGATGCTAACGTTCATACATTAGCAAGTAGTTTCAAATGCGCCGTCCAATGTGGCTGCCCGTGACAGAAGTCTTTTCGACGGGGCGTTCGTTGGGCGCTGAACCATGCGGCTCGGTGAGAAAAACCCGGCACTATATTGCGCTGCCACGAAAATAGAGTTTGCGCTACATTAACCACGTGAAGCTACTGTTAGTTTCTCTCAGGCCATGACTTGTGACGTCGCTAACGCCTAAGACTGGTTGTTTGACCGGAGGATATTATATGCCCGGGATCCTGACGGGGGCGGCATATAGTACGTGCACAATGATCCGGCAAGACTCCGGGTGTTACCACGAGGGTTCGGGACGACTCCGACACGCTTGTTTTGACTGCGTATGCAATAAGACTATTTATATAGGCGGCTTCGGCATCCGCGGACTCATCCTTACCTATAACATGGCATATAGTTTTGTCTTGACTGGCTCACAATGCAAGAATACCCTAGGTCTTCTTGTTAAACTGGTTCAACTTCTCTTGCACAGCCTTCTTCAGGTCGAAGCCTTGCATCACACTACCCCTTCTCTTCCTCTGCTCGATCTCTGCCTTTACTTCTGCGACGATTTCATCAATCTCAGCTTCGGGGTCGTCAGCGATACCGTGGAGAGGCATCTTTGCGCTGCTAAAACTATCGGTTGATTTTGTCCTAGCAAGTCGTTCTCTCCGAATTTCCTCACGTGCTGCCTTTTCAATTGCGGGGTCGTCATACGTAGGAGCTGCGGGTGACGCACGAGCAGATTGAAGCTGAACGAGCTGCTTTCGGAAAGGGAAGGAGCGTGAGAACAGTGCAAAGGATCCGGCCACGCCAATAAGAGTGTAGAAGTAGACGCGTGACCAAATTTTGATCGTGTCGGAGAAACCGAGCAGGATAAATGGCGCGACAACGTACGCAAACACAGTTTGCGTGAGAAAGACGGTAAACATGTCGTAGTATTTCTTAGATGGAAGCGGTGCTTTGCCGTCTGGTGTCATGAAAAGTGGGCGGATTAAGCGACGGCCGTCTATGTCGTGTCAGTATTACATATGTCTCAGCGTAATAGGCCACTTACTCTTTGCGGCAGTTTGCACAAAAGCCGCGAGTACAAATGCTAGGTAGTAGCCGGGATAGAAGCCGTGCCAAAAAGCGCTGGTTACAAAGGTCGCCAGTGTGGCTCTAAAGCCAGGTTTCTTGCCCTTTGGCGTCACACGCAGGTACATGTAATTTTTGAGCCATTGGTTCGTGTTGATGTTCCAGAATCCAAGATAGGCGCGGGCGTTTTGCGCTCTCTCAATTTCAAGGGGCTTGATGTTGGTGAGGCGATCCCATCTTGGGCGGTTGGTCTTTGGGTCAATTCCATTGTAGCCAATACCGGACAGGATGCACGATCCTTCCGACAAGCTCCAGACAGCGTAATACTTCATGCGAGTGGTGAGACCAAGCATGTACAGCTGCCAGATCCTGCGGAAAAAGTTGTACTGCATGTAATCATCGCCAAGATAGAAGGCGGGGTAATACCAGCTGGAGAATTTGATGAAAGCGACGAGCCAAAGAGTTCCATAAGCGCCCTTGATGGCAGCCGGCATACCGCTTCGAGGAATCTTACGCTTCTTACGCGTTGGAGGTGCTTTGGATGGATCAGTGCCCGGCGGTAGAGTGAACATGGTCGTGGTGATGTAGTTGCTGTACTCAGAGTAGTCAAAGGCTGGGCCTGCCATGAGAGCTGGGAAGAAGAAGACATAGCCGGTGTAGTCAAGAAGGCTGGGCATGGTTCGGATAGCGTGTTCTTGTTGAACATCAGTGAGTTCGGAATCAGGGAGGCGACCATCTTGCACGTTCCAGCAAAAGGCGGTAAGCTTCATAACCAGTACCATCTGAGCTCCTGTGATGTCCAAGGCAGACGGGTCGTTAACGGCCTGCCGATAGATGTGATTGACCGACATGTGGCCCATGAGGAAGACGAAACCTATCCACGGCATGTATGGGGAGTGAATCCGGGACGAGATGAGATAGGCACCACCAGCACTGATGAGGATGGTCCGCAGTCCACTCCACATGTCAAAAAGCCCGACGAGGTAGAACAGTGACACACTTGGATCATTAAAACGGCATTCTACGGGTATGGTATGATTTGACTTACCCGATTACGAACATGTTTTTCTTCCATGGTTCCTTGTCAGGTATCCTTTTCAGGACAGCAGCCAAGGGGTAGGACAGGTAGAAGGTGAAGATGAGCTTCACTATGTGGTCCGTCAGTAAGCAGGGGTACGTAAATTTAGTCATGGTAGCTTACGCTCATCTGTAGAGTTTCCAAGAATATTGGCCACATATTCAAATGCTTCATAGTATTAGTATACAAGACGACAGCTTGGTTAACTTCCACGTACGTGCGTTGATGTAGGGCAACATGGTGCCAAAAGCCAAGCTGATCTGATAGCAGATGCACGGGTAGATGGCGTAGTAAGCACGATTGCGAGTAAATGCGACGTTATGTGCAACCTGTCTGCATGATCGTGCGAGGGGTGAGGATGCAAATAACCGTACGAAGGTTGCTGGGGTAGGAAAGGTTGAGGGCGAAGATGACGTCGCGTCAAGGCTGGTGGGGGCCCGTGCGGTACATCTCATCGCTCAGTGGTCAACTTTTTCGCGACACCATCTCACGCGACGAGCGCGGCCACGAGCATTCACGGCGCATATTACCGTGCATTCACTTGGGCATTTCCGACCGCGACCATGAGTTCGACGTACAATCTCGAGCCGAATCCGACCGCCAAAGTCGTCCTTCACACCACCGCGGGCGACCTTGAAATTGAGCTCTTCGCCAAGCAGACGCCTATTACTTCGCGCAACTTTCTGCAGCTATGTCTCGATGGTTATTACGATAACACCGTGTTTCACCGCCTAGTCAAAGGCTTTATCCTGCAGGGAGGAGATCCGACCGGAACTGGACAGGGTGGAGAGAGCAGTTATGATGGCGAGCCTTTTGCGGATGAGTTTCATAGCCGGCTCAAGTACACCAGGAGAGGACTGCTGGGTATGGCAAATACGGGCAAAAAAGATGACAATGGCAGTCAGTTCTTTTTCACTCTGGCCGCGACGCCAGAATTGCAGGACAAGAACACTATGTTTGGAAGGATAGCAGGCGACACCATTTACAATCTGATGAAGATGGCTGAGGCCGAGATACGGGAAGGAAGCGAAGACCAGCCAATGTACCCGTCCAGAGTCACGGGGGCTGAGATCATCATCAACCCATTCGAGGACATGGTTAAGAGAGTCCAGGCGCCTGCGCGAATGGAAGAGACAAAGAAGGTCAAGAAGCCGAAGAGGAAGGCTGGCAAGAACGTGCTCAGCTTTGGAGACGATGCAGCCGACGCCGAGGCTGCCCCAGTTGCGAAGAAGCCCAAGTTTAACACCAAGCTTGTTAGTGCAGGAGACGAAAAGCCCGTAATAAAAGCGCCCAAGCCAGACATAGCCATACCCATCCGCAAGCCTTCGAGGAAATCACCACCAAGATCCCCATCGCCCAAACCCGTCCCCAAAGTCGACGCAGAACCATCGCCCAAGCCGAAAGCTCGCACACCTCCAAGAGAACTATCGCCAGAGTCGGAAAAGCGCGCAAAGCTCGACCGCGTAAACCAACAAATTGCAGACCTCAAGGCGTCGATGAAGCGCAATACGGCAATTCAAGACACAGGACCTACTAAGAAGAAGTCGTTATTAGAAGCCATGGTATCTTCGACTACCACAAGGGGGCGAAAGCGAGGTGCAGGGGGAAACGCAAAGGACGAACAGTCAGCATTGGATATTCTTTCAAAGTTCAAGTCAAAACTCGATTCTGCAGAACCGGCAGCAGCCTCGAAGATGGAGACCCCAGCACTACCAGAAGACAGCACAAATGGCAACGCCAGTGGCGATGCAAACGGAGCGGACGACGAGGAGGGTGCGTGTGACTTGCATTTCATAGTAGGTTGTCAGTCGTGTAAAGCCTGGGACAAGCAAGAGGAAGAAGAGTCGGATGACGATGCTGGGTGGATGTCGCATTCTCTCACTTTTGCAAAGGATAGGTTAGGCAAAGATCTTGAGTGGAAACGGAAGAATGAAGAGGAACTGCTTGTTATTGATCCGCGGGAGGAAGCAAAACGACACAAGGCTGAAGGCAAGGGGAAGAGGGAGTGGGATGGGAAGAAGCTGAAGGGTTGAGATCTGGGTATGCAGGTCATGACCATGTAGATAGACACATTCGCATTTTCTGGAATATGCCAGGCAACAGCTATCGAGATTTTGAGATGACGTATTAGGTGAGTAATGCTCGGTTGTGCCGATGTGCTATGAGCGTAGTTGCGTTGCGTTCAAGTGCGAGGACAATCTCTAGAGAGTATGCGCAGGCTGCGATCGAGCTATCGTCTGTTCCAAGGGCCTCGAACAATTTGTCCGAAGTGTCTATTTCCATGTCAACATCCTCCACATATTTCAAGTTTACCTCAACCCGTTCCTCGCATTTTCCAAGAGCCGTAGGCAGTGGATAGTCCTTTCTAGCTCACACGGCTTCACCAGGTATTGCGCCGTGTAGATGTGCAACTTCACTTTGCTTCTTAAGGGTTGCCCACACAAGCGGCGCAAGTGCGGGGAAGAAGAGTAGGTAAACCTGTGGTCCACCCTCGCTTAGAGTTCACCTTCACTTCTACTTCATAAAATAACTCCTACATCCCGCGTCTCTGCTTTCCTCCAACATCTTCTGCTCTTGTCAGCCTCCACACTGAAGACACTGAAGATCGCTCTCTTGATAGCCACCACAGGTTTCAATCTCACTCGCACAAGACTGTAAGTTGTCCTGTAGCCATGCCGCTGTACAGAGCCCTACGCTCCAGCTGTAGACTTTAGATGTAGCCGACACGGCTCGCCACCACGCTCTACAGCCGGCAACAGCTTATCATCTTACTCTTCTTTTTACCTATAGTTCCACACAGCCTTACCCTCCTATCCTATAAGTCCCGCGATTACTAACACAATCTAGGAACCGTAGCCCACCGTCAACATGGTCATCCAATGGAACAATGCGCAAATCACAGAGCGCCTTTTCATTGCCATGCTCGCTTCTGTTGACAACAAAGTACGCACCCAACCCACCTCTCCCGTACCCCCACCCGACTAACCAAACCCTCTAGATAAACATCTCCGAGGTCGCCCGTCTCTACGGTGAAGATATGACATACAATGCCCTGGAGAACCGACTCCGGGCCTGGAAGAAAGAAGCCACCGCTATGAAGGCTGCTGCATCGGGCCGCGAGATCGCCGTCAAGAGCCCCTCCAAGTCTAGGGCCAAGAAGGGAGAGGCGAATCCCACGAAGAAAGGCGAGTACCATTGTTTGTCTTGTGGGATGTTTACTAACGACAAGGTGCTGTGTAGGTGTTCAGACCAGTCGCGTCACCAAGGCTAGAAGCAAGACAAACACCCCGACCAAAGTCAAGGCTGTGCCCATCATCATCGTCGATGACGAGGATGAGCTTGAGGAATATGCTGAAGTAGGAGATGATGACGAGGAAGACTTCGTCTAGGTTGTGGGTGGATGTACGGAAGCGAAAGGACTTTCTTGCGGGATACGAAAAATGGAGTTTAATGGTATTGACGCAGAAAAGCTATTTGACGGCGTCCTGCGGTTCACTTGGGTTTGCTTTGTATGGACGGATTGATTGCGCGAAAGCGACGGTACTGATTCATCAGTGTCGATTCAGCGCAGGGTAATCTTGTGGAGTTGCATACAGTTTATCGAATGGACGCTTGACCTCGACATAGCGGTCGAAAATTTAGTTCAGTAGTCTTCAGCAATGCACATGTACTTGGGTTAAGTCACTTGTCATGCTCCGATCGTGACTCCTTCCTCCAACACTCGTCGTGCTCCCTCCTTTCCCACATCTGACCAGTCTCCCATCACATACACAGAAATCACCACCAAACCCCATGTCTATCCAAACAAAATCATCCAACACTCATCCATCTTCAACGTCACCCACATCTTGCGGCTGTGGTACATCCCTTGGGAAGCGGCATATGACATTGGCTATCCCGCATCCCATCGCTATACCGCATCATACCCATCATTCTCGCTCAGCCATGTCTACATACCTGTACATTTGCGTCCTGGTATTACTCCTACTACCCAAGGCCGCGAGCGCCCGTAACCTCCTCCACTTACCACTCACCAACATCAACAATACCAGCATCGCGAACAGCACATGCTGCCTCACACTCGGCCCTCCCATCAGCACTACGAGAGACTTTACCGCGGCCTCTACATTGACATCAGCTACGGACACTCCACGCCCCGACCCTGTCATACAAATACGTGATATGTACGCTTACCTACAAAGCCTCAGCACCGGGCTTGGAGCCGGCAGCTTCGACATCACCACTATCTTCACTACGGTTACTACTGTCACCACTACCACGCGTTCTCTACCCGTGCACCAAGCCACTTCGATAAAAATCCACGACTCGCACACCACAGCCATACCTACAGCCACAACGGACTCGTACAGTTGGCATACCGGAACCTCAACCACAACCAAGTCGTACAGTTGGCACACCGAAGCCTCAACCACAACCAGATTCTACACCTGGTACATCGAAACCACAATAACAGCCAACTCCTCTAACTGGCACACCGGAGTCCCGTCATCATCCCCGACCCAAAGCCTCAAAGACAGAGATGTAGACCCTACATCTACGTCTGTCTGGTTCCCGTCCCTCACCCTCGAACTCTACAACCGGGTAACCCGTTCCCACCCCTACCCTTACACCCTCCCTCCGTCTCCTACTTCAACGTCATATTCCCCCATTCCAACAACATCTGCGGGTGTGCAATCCCCCCAAACCGAACACGCAGATAAGAGGGGGAACGCGGATGTCAATGCAAAGAAAGCGGTCAAAATCCTAAGATCCATCATCCATGGCAGATCATACAGGAGAAAAGTTTTCCTTTTTGTATACATCATCTGGTGCTGCGTTGCCATTGCGATTTTGCTGTCGATTGTGGTGGCAGCTACTATGTATTTGCGGAGGTGGTCTCGTGCTCGTGCGGAGAAGAGGCGCGATCTTGAAATGGAGAATCGGGAGGGTCAGGGTGAGATGGAGGGCAGGGTGGAGGGGAGAAATGGGGCTTAGGGGAAAAGCTAGGACAGTGGGTTTTGGCCGGGAAAGTTGCCGCTGTATTCTGTTGATAAGGGTGGTTGAGCTGTTTCTGGGATTGACGTGGGCGTCGGTTTGAGGGCTCGTTTCTGTGTTTGCTCTTTGGGTCTTTTTCATCATCGTTGTTGTTCATTCCTACGTAGTTCTTGTAGTCCATTGATTATATCACACTTTTTGTTGAGAAAGAATGACTCTCTCAGTCATGGCATGTAAGTGTGTCAATTGCTAACTATACAAAGCTCGGCTAATATAGAGCGGTGTGGGTCATGTGACTTAGCGTCCTCGTGACAGGTGACCGGAATATTCTCAACACTTTTTCTTATCTCGTATATCCCTTACTCTCCCTTTTCCGCCCAGCGATGTGTCTTCCAAAATCGAGTTTGCGGAGGCGGTGACGGAGAGTCAACCCCTTTTCTAGTCTTCGTATTGCGATTTTCTCGGGTTTTCAAGGGGGTGTGGGGGTGTGGAGTATATGTATCTCAAAAGGTGACTCTGTATCTAGAAAGTCTACCGCCTACTAATCCGTGCTTAAATGCTAATATAAGAAATATAAATACTATAACGGGAGAATTAAACAGTAGATAGATACGAAGATCCTCAGAGCTAAGGACTGTTAGGCCTTCGCGCTTGTCTAAGACGAGAAATTGAGTGCTCAGAGGCAGTGATAAATAGTCGGCCCTTTTCAAAGGTAGAAGGTAGCACGGTTGGTAGGAACTTGATGCAGTCTGGTGGCTCTCGATCGCAAAGTTGCTGCGTCGAGAAATTGATGCATAAATACGCGCCTTGCCGTTCAGATGTTAAACTTTCTCTTTCATCCTTCCAAGGTTTCTTCGCTAACTACCTATTAAGTCTAAGCCTTCAACGTCTTCCCAGTACCGTTCAACACCATTCAGCTACCGAAAGCTCTATTCCCATAACCCTTACCGATCACCATGCACGTCCTAAAAGTGGTAGCGACAGCCCTACTATACTTTAGCAGTCTCTCTACTGCCCAAAGACCGGCGCGAAGCGCAGCTTGCTTGGACTCTTGTAGTAATGGTTCGGGGGTTGGAAAACCTTGTTTTTGGCAATGCCGCGTACGTTCCGTGCTTTTGATTTCAAATGTTCAAATTTGTTAACAGATATAGGGCGGGCCTGAGGTTCAAGGGACATGCAAGGAAGGAAGTGCATTTCCAGGCCGTGACTTCCAATGTGGTTCTTAGGGTCTGGTATGGGAAGCTTTGGAAGACTGGGATGTTGGGGACATGGTGGCTCTGATGAGCGAGTGTTCAAGTAGAGGTTTCGGCGTACTTGGCGAGGAAACTTTTAGAATACTTCTTCATAAATGCCAATTGACCGTGCTGTCTACAATGTCTAGTTCCTTCCCATCTCTCTTGGCACAGACTTCCTCCCCACGACCGCACCATCCTTTCTACCCCCCTTCCCCCGCCATGCCCACCCACTTCTTCGCAAAATCCTGCGCCCCACCCCAACCGCCCTCATCTCCTCACTCACCTCACGGCCCTCACCCGCCGCATACAAGACTAGACTAGAGAACCACTAAACTGCAAACAACCCCTTTGCTTTTCAACGTCCAACACTCGACACTAGACCTACTTCGCAGCGAACCGGCTCTTCGCCCTCAATCTCGCCCCAAAGAAGAACAAGACATAAACCCCAGCACTACACCCCGCCGCCAATCCCGCCAGCAAACTGACCCCCCTCCCGACGCCCAAGTTATGAAACAACGGATACGAAAAATGAATCGCGCCCGTCGCAAGCGCACTCCTCAAAAAGTCATTTCCTGCAAACAAACTCGCCGCATACTGCGGATACACGAGCGGCAAATACAGAAAGATACATTGAATAATCAGAAAGATGCCGATTGTCGTAATCACAATACCGATACAGGATACAATCCAATGTACGTCTTTATTAGCCGTCCACCCAAAGATAAACAGCCCCACGGGCACGAAGAAGGTGACGAAGAGCGCGGGAATGAGACGTCGTTCTGGGGCCCCGAGACCATGGAGTCGGATACTGGGTTCGACGCGGTAGCGGATATACCACCAGTACCACACTATGCTGAGCACAACACCGACGGTGACTGACAAGAAGGTGAGACCCAGTTCACCGAGGTTGAAAGCGTACATCTCGTTGTAGACAAGTGGGAATGCTTCGAAGAAGGAGTAAAAGATGCCGTAAACGATAGCTGTGTAGACAGCCGTGAAAGCGATACTAGGATCCAGAAGCATAAGTTGGAAGGGACGCCAGAGGGCTTCGACGGCGATGGCGCGCGGCGTGAGATTTGCTTGGTCGATTTCAGATTGGCTTTTCAAGTGCGCGTCGCCGGTGATGCGGCGGAGGCGTTGGGCGCGGCGGAGGAGGATGGTCGACGTGGAGGTTTCTGGGAGGAAGAGGAAGAGGGCGAGGAAGATAGGGCCGTTGAGCCAGAGCATTTCCCACAGGGACCAGCGCCAGTTCTTTGCTGCGACGCTGAAGCCGCTGATGATGGGGCCGAGCGCTGGACCGCATGTTGCTGCAAAAGCCCAGAGGGAGAGCACGTAGGGGAGTTTGATTAGGCTGTACATATCTTGTAGGGTTGCGCCGCCGGTGGCGAGACAGGGGCTTCCGAAGAATCCTTGGAGGAAGCGGAGGACGATTAGTCCGGCGAAGTTGTCGACGAGAGCGGAGGGAACGATTAGGATGACGAAGATGGCGTAGGAGATTATGTATGGTGGGTTACGGCCAATGATAGGGATTTCGCTCAATGGCGAGAAGAGGAGTGGTCCGAGACCGTAGGCGAAGACGTACATTGATAGACCTAGCGACGCGGCACCAATTTCCACACCGAAGCGCTCCATGACTCCAGGTATACTGGGACTGTAGATGGCACTGCCCATGTAAACCCCCATGGTGTACATCAGGATGAGGAAGAGGACAATAGCTTTCTTCCCGAAACTCCAGTTCTGAGGATTGGAGGCATCATCGGTGTCGTACCAGTCTACTAGAATTATTCCGTCGGTGAGTATCTCAGGCTCCAGAGGTCGGGTTGGACAACGCTCTACTGTTGCTAGTGAGAATTGCTGTTCGAGATCTGCCTGCGTTGTCGATTTATGCAGCGCTGTCCGTGTTCCGACACGGGAGATCTGTGTCCGTGCAGTGTGCAGTGTCCTGACCGTCTGTATCTTTTCCAAGTCACTGGTAGTGTCGTCTCCGCTCTCTGACGCTTCTTCGATGACGGTTTCCGGATCTGGATAGCATACTTCTTCTGTGGCTGGCTCATCTTTTTCAACTTGGGTTACTTCAGTGACTTCTGATATATGACGCTTCGGGACGGGTCGAGAATGTCGGTTGTAAGTGTAAGCTGCTGGGATCACGAAATCGGGAAGTTCTTCAGGGTACTTGAGGGTTCTGTTGTTTGTGAGATATCGGAGGATCTGGCCGATTGGCGCGTCGCGTATCAGAGCCGACACCATTTCGGTGGCTGTAATGATCCCAGTACTTATTCACAAACGCGTGGTAATGTGAGGGATGGAGATAGATGTTGTAGATGATGAAAATGTTTGAACTGAGAAAGTAGCAATATACCACGACCTCAACCCATACTTATCCTTACCAGCACTCACCAACGTACCAATATCCGTGCGCACATGAACTTTGTAATCCCAAATCTCACAAACCACAATTGACTTTACAAATCCACGCACCAAACATGTCGGCAACAGATCCTCTACTGCGCTTTCGGCGTCGGCGATTGGCCCGTGGAATTCTACCGCAACTTAATTTCACAGCGTCAACATGAAACGCATGTCGACTTTGCTGATTCGGGAAGTAGGAATTTGTTGGAACAACGAGGAAATCGTGCAGGACATGCTTTCTAATCATGGCTTACTCACACAAAGCGGCAGCCGCTAGTGGACTTTCGGAGCTTAGCCGGTCGCAAGGGGTTTAGCGTTCAGCTTGATCATTAATCTCAACTCTAATGTCATGTTGGAAACATGACTGGTATACAGCCGTTGTTGAACATGGCGACATTAGTATATAGTCATTAAGTAATCGTTGTTTCCACAAGCAGTTGTGTCGACGCTAGTGCCATTGCAAGGAACTTCGTGCAGCTCGCATATCCCGCTTTGTCAGCCGGAGCAAAAAGTGCAGCACCTAACCCTAAAGCTCCCATCCTCGTACCCTCAACCCATCTCATCTTTCTGCATCAACCTCCCATAGCCAAAAATTACAGCCCTTTAATCCGCAAAAAAAAAAGAAACACGATGGACTCGCGGGGAATCGAACTAAGCAGATTGTTAGTACGACTGTAACCTTATCTTGAAGGTGCGAGTTGTGACTTACCCCCGGACCACTCCCATGCTAAGGGAGTATTATACCACTAAACCACGAGCCCGATAGGTTGTTTGCTTGAGAATTCAAGCTGTTTGATGAGAGACAGAGAAATTAGTTGTATTACAATGTTGGTACAAATGCGTGGGTGTGGGGAATTGGGCTTTGGGCCAAGCGAGTGTGTTGTGCGGTCGACTATTTGGGCCGGCCCCACAGACCGCACCACGATAATGACATTACTGCTGCTTATGCAGTTTTTCTTTCAGGTAAGTTTAGAATTCACATCTTGGGCAATCAAAAGTATAGGACTCCAACACCAGGCTGAATATGACTGTATTTGAGAGCAGCTTCGCATCTGCCATCTCAGTATCGAGACTGTGGAATCTATGGGGTATCATGCTTCTTAATCGTTTCGTCATTCACACCATCGCTACTCTTGACCCCAAGTATCATCATCACCAATCTCCCCAATAATTTCCACGCCCTGCTCTGCTTCGAAAGCGACCTGCTTGTTCTTGCCTCGCTTCTTCTTCCCCTTTCCATTCTCCTTGTTCGCCGTACCATCAGGGCCCAGCGGGTTTCCGTCTTCATCAATGCCAGCAAGCTCCCTCTGACGTTTCCTCTCCAAAGCTTCTGCTTTTGCTACCGCAATCTTCTTCGCGTACTCAGCCTCAAGATCGGCCATTTCGCGCTTGATCTCATCCACATTGGCAAACGAGTCCTCGGACCTGTTCGCTTTCTCCAGATACATGTTCCATCCTCCCGCGTTCATTTCGCAGCGGCCTTGCAGCGCTGCCTTGACGCCGTCGGGGTTCTCACGCTCTTCGCGGGTGAACTTGGTTTTGATGGAGCGCCGAGTGAAACCGGGGAACATTTGCGATATCATCTGGAAATCCGTACCAAAAGATCTGAGGCCTTGGTAGAAGAGCTCCGTGAGTTCCATATTCCATCGTCGACCTTGGCCTGGTAGGATAAACTCGTTGGGGAACCGCTTGTTGTTTTTCATGAAGCTACGATTGGTAAGGCGTGCAGTAATGTCCTGGTCTTCGGTAACGACCATCTGATCGATCTCGCGAGCGGCGTCGCCCTCAAGATCAATGATTCCAGCTTGAGGTATTATCTCCAAATTACCCTCTGCGTTCAGACGGACGTTTTCGAACTCGGATTGCGCAGCCCGTTGTGCCCCTTGCTCAGCCAATTCTCTGTCCGCTTTTTCCTGCTCGGCCCTGGAAGCTATTTCTCGGGAGTCCTCCTCTCTGCGGCGCTGCTTGACTGCTTCCCAGTCTATCGTGCGCATCTCTCTCTCTCTCGTAGAGAGTTTTCCCCAATGGACGTGGCGAGCTGCCAGAGAGTCCATGTAGGTGACATCGGGGTCGATGGTCTGATCTTCCGCATCAGACGGGGTGGCCTCGCGCGGCGGTCGTCCCCTTCTCTTCTTCTCCCTTTGTGTGCCCTCTTCGCCTTCAACACCATCTACTTCATCGGCCTCGGGAGTGGGCTGCCTCCTTTTCCTTGGCTTCGGTTTGCGACGTGTGGCGGCTGCTACGATATCGTCTGCGATGCGTCCGACCTCTTCCTCTGTTCCTTCGACGATCTCGCTACTCAGGGCGCCTTTAGGTTTCCGGGGCTTCTTGGCTCTTTTTGGGGCCGCGGGGACTTCTTCGCCGTCCTGTGTGGGTGCTTCGGTGGCTTTCTTCTTTGTGCGGGACTTTATGCCAGGTCGTTTTCTCGTGGGTTGTAGCTCTTCGTCGTCTTCAGCTTCTTCCTCTTCCTCCACATGATCTGCATCTGCGTCTGCGTCCGCCATGGCATTCTTCTTCGCTCGGGGCCTGGGAGGTTGGCGAGGCTTCCGGGTAGACGCACCGGCAGGGGTTTCCGCGCCGCCATCTTGGGAGTGGTTCACCGATATCCACGGCAGTTTCCTTCTGTTTCTGGGCTGTGGGAGAGTCTGGTTTTCTGCAGGAGTCGGGGCAGTGTTCGCGCCAGGTGGTTGCTCGCCGTCTCCATCTGCTGTTGCCGGCGCACTCACAGGTGCAGTAACTTGGACCTCTTGGCTTGGCTGTACGGGGGACTCTAGGCGGCGCCTCTTAGGTGACCTCCCTGCTTGGACTTCATCTTCGAGGTACTGTGTTGTGAGGCCTTGTGAGGTAGAAGGCTGGGCGGCACTGGCTTCATTGGCTGCCTGCGTCTGAACATTCGGGTCGGTGGGTGCAGGGGTCCCGGTCGCAGTAGCAGTGGCAGTAATAATCGACAGGTCGGCTTGAGCAGTGCTATTTACGGTCTCTTGAGTCGCGGCAGGCGTGGGCAGCTGTACGGCAGGTGTCGAGTCGGCGGCAGGCGCATTCGAGGTCTCGGCTTCGGGTTCGGCTTGCGGGTTGGGCACTTCGGCAGTCGATGCGGGTATCTCTGATGCCGGTGCAGGCGATGATGCAGCAGGTGCAGCAGGTGCAGCAGGCGGAGCGCCTGGTCTTCGTCGTGCTGCCTTGGGTGCAAACTTCTTGCTCGTTGTATTCTCTGCCCACGTCTTAGCGGCGGCGCGAGCACCATCGCATGGGACGACTCACTATTAATAGAGAAACTAAAGGCCGCCGCTGGTTTGGGCGCGGCAGACGCCTGGTTGGCACCCTCCTCGGTCGACATGACACACTGGCTACGTCGAACGCCAATATATGGCCACTGTCACTCTCCTCACATTTGGCGGGGCACGTAAAAGTCGCAGATTGACAGAGAAGAGGAACGGGTCGCGTTCTCAAACACAGACCATCTGCTAGCGCGCCACTAGCTTGATTACCTAACGGCAACTAAAGGAACTCTCTTCGCTCAACGCCCACCGTCTCCTCACCCACGGCCTCACACGACGTTCGGACCCCCTCCTGTTACTTCGCCGTCACCCGTCAAACCACGTGCCCCAAGTCGCTCCTTTATCTCGCTGCAGGATCTGAGAGCGCGCGCGTTTTCAGTGCCCTCACACCTCGCCGGCGTCACCTCGATGAGGCTCGAAGCCAGGACCGTCGCACCCCCATCGCTTGACGCTGTCAAGATGGAGGACCGGAAGCGGCCCATCACTGACGACGCTGCTCCTCCTGCTAAGAGGCAAGCGTTGACTGCCAACGGTGCTCGAACTCACCCAGAAGCTGACACGCCGTGGAAAGATGACATCGAGGTTCGCCCCCCGATTACCAACCGCCTTCCTCCTCCGCCCACGGCGCACACACTCGCTGACACTGCGATTCTACAGCTGTTTCAAAAAGATGCCATTCTGCGCCAGATGCGCGAGTACAAACGCGAAGCCAACATGGTCGACGAACAACTGTCTGCTCTGAAAATACGTTCTCAGTACCACGATGACCATCTACGGACAATAGACGCTTGGTTTGATCAGGTCAGTATACCCTTGGGATTTGATTGAGGTGATGCTAATTGCTTTTTAGCTTATCGATGAGATCAAACTCCGAGGGTCTGGTCACCTGCCTGATGCCAATTTCACTCCCTCCATACCCGCTACGCTCCTGCGGGAGGACAATCAGACATTCAAGAAGCATTTGTCTAACCGCAGGGACAAGATTCTTGCTTGTCTGACTGATCTCTTTTCAAAGTATCCTCAAAGCAGTCCAGAGGTAGCAGATTTGCAGCAGAAGCTTTCAGACCTTCTGGCTATAGAGAAAGATCACGTGGTCCGACTACAGCAAGTCACGGCCGAGAAGGAGCAGTTGTGCGATCAACTAACTGATGCCACTCACCGTTACCTCAGGTCTGAGAAGAAGTGTGATCGTTTAAGGAGCGCTCAAGTCCAGAGACTTGAGCAGCAAGCCGTTGGTGCAAGCGCTGCTGTGAAAGAGGAGGCACCATCTGCAAGCAATGGGACACAGGCAGCCAACGGCACTTCACCGGGGCCTATCAGTGAAGAACTGGAAACTGCAAAGAACCAGGCCATAGCTGAGGCGACCAAGAGAAAGGAGCAGCTTGAGCAGATCGAGCAAGAGAACAAGAAGCTTACTGAAGAGGTCTCAGCATTGAAAGTGAAGCTCACTGGGCTGTCTGACGATGATTACGCCAAAACGGATCTCTTCAAAGCCATCAAGAGCCAACATGAAGACGTCATCAAACGCATTAACAATCTTGAAGCCACCAACATTCAGCTACGAGAGGAGGCGCAAAAGTACCAGGCAGAGCGAACTGCATACAGGATTAAGGTTGACGATGAGGTACGTGCGACCTTGGCAGATTCTGCAAGCCACGTTTCGCAAGCAGAGGCAAACTGTGCGCGCATTCGAAACGCTCGAGATGAACTCCAGACTCAGAAGACTGTTTTGGAAGCAAGCCACAAGGATGCCAGAGAGTCTATTGAGCAGTCCAAAAAGCTTGCCAGCGCATGTGACCTTCGGATCGCCGCTTTGGAGCAGGAATGTGCGCGTCTACGAGCACAAATTGCGGAGGACCAGGCGTCAAGCGAACAGGAATCCCCAGGATTGGATGACTTGACACCAGAGCAACTGCGCAGCAAAGTCTCGAAGCTTGATAGCCAAACTAAACTCTTGAGCACAGAACTCCTGGGCATGGAGGAGGCATGGAAAAAGGCGCATGGGGCTGCAAACTCGAAAATCACCATCACCGCCACTTGGGAGGAGAACATTGCCAAGGCGAACGCGGACAAGGCCAAGGCAGAGCAGAAGTATTTCGCGGCTATGAAGACCAAGGGAGAGCTGGAACAACAGGTTCGCATTCTGCGCGCTCAAACTAGCAAGGCAACCGAAGTTGTAGCGCAGTTGAAAGAGGCGGATACTCTCAGTCGGTCACTAGTAGACAAATTGGAGAAGCAGACTGCGGAAATGCGATCGCAGATGGATGACTTGTCCATTACGCACCGCCAACTGCAGCAGAAGGTTAACGAGAACGCCATTACATCCGAAGGTCACATCAGTCAGATAGCAGAACTGAAAAAGGTGGTTGAAACTAAGGACGCGATGTGCCTTGCCGCCAAGCACGCCCAACGCGAATCGGAAACGGAGCGAGATAAGCTAGCAGCCCAAGTCACTGGATTGGAGAAGCAAGTGCAAATTTACAAGAAGAAGAGCACGGCCAACCAGAGCTCTGAGGTTTCGACCATGGAACTGTTGATTCAGTGCCAGATCTGCAAGAGCAAGCTCAAGAACACCGTCATCAAAACTTGCGGACACATGTTCTGCGATCAGTGCGTCCAAGACCGACTTACCAACCGAGCGAGAAAGTGTCCCAACTGCGGCAAGGCGTTTGGCAGCAACGACACAATGCGGGTGCATTTGTAAGGCGTCTTCATTTGGGGGAGTCTTTTTTTATAATTTGCCGGCACGTCTGCCCATGTATATCACCTGCGTTTCTTTCGAGTACCCTTTTTCCAGATTTACAGTAGCGTTGACGGGAGCACTATTTGGTGGATTGGATATGTTGGCGTTTCGCGGATGGCCTTTGGCCGCGTTCTACGGCGTTCATGTTCGCGTGGCAGCGTAAGACTATGTACGATCAGAGAGCGATGTATTTCCAGCATGTTCGGCTAGATGGGCTAGCTTTCACTTGGCAGGACGTGTGCGGGCAAGAGAAAGTCGACGAATTCTATGGAGCTCGGGTCAATGGTGGTCAAGGGATGAATGCAATCAAGATAACGTCAAGGATTCCAAGGTTGTGTGCCATGCAACGTAATGTAATAGTGACTCATATCTGAAGGCGAGCAGGTGGTGTTGGCCGGTTGGCCGGTAGACTAACCAAGACGACTCGTATGAGCCAACCAAGTAAGAGACGTAAGCCAGAAGGGAAGGAAAGGCGGGGCCTAGAGGCGCAGGGAGCACAAAGGTAGGGTTGTAGGGCTGGGATGCCAGGGTGATTACGTCCAGTGCGTTCCTGTGCGTGCCTGTGTTGCCCCGTGCGACCGGTTAGTATACACCCTTGCCGACTGACGAGTATAACCACGACGACCGCGCACGTAAAAGCAGACAACATCACCGACTCACCTCGCACTACTCACCTTGCCCTTCTATTCAAGCCATCAATCAAGTAAAGCTACCGCCCTCAGACAGTAACACAATGTCTCCCAACGTCCTCAGCGCCCGCTCCACCAACACGCAAGTCAAACCCACGTCGTCACCAGAAAAGGCAGCAGAGAAGGATGTTAAGAGTCTCGCCTTCCACCGCCAAGTCCTGCAGTCACGCATGAAAGATGGCGAACAGTAAGATCCCCCAGCGCCTACAAATAGCACACCACGCTAACACCCTTTACTTGTAGAGAGCAAAAATTCGTCTCACCCTCCGACGACATTATGAGCCCTGCGACGCAGAAACTGCAAGCTTTCAAGACTAAGCACGCCATGAAGAAGTATGTCGAACCACCATGCACAATTATGAGACTAGGAGGCTAACTGCTTGGGATAGGTCGAAGCCTCAGCTGCTGTTTAAGAAGACGGGTGCTAAGAACTTTGAGCCGTTGAAGGATGGCAGTGCACTCGTGTTCGCTGATATTCCCAAGAAAGTGGCGCAGACGGATGAGGGTGGAGATGTCCAGGTTGTGTGAACGAGTGGGGTGGGGTGTGGTGATGATGGGATTTCCTTTTTTGAGGCGTAAGCGTGGTTCTTGTATACCCTTTTTTCTTTCACGGCCGCATTGGTGCCGGCATGACATGCTCTGAATAGGTGGAGCTGGATTCTTGATCGAATGACGGAAAGGATTTCATGTTACGATTATCACGAATGGGAATTATCCACGACGGACTTGCTCGACTTGTAGCATACGATGAAATGCGAGATGAGTTGAATGGAATTGCTTCTGCGTGCCATGTAGTAATGTTATACTATATTAAGCATAAGCGCTTAGATGGATACTCCCGTCTATGTTGGGAAATGTCGCCAAGAAACACACGTCGTACGCCTCTCTAGCTGCATCCACCGCTCGACCCACACGATGGCACCACCACATCCCGATCAGCGCGTTCTATGCGTACGAGACGAGGTAGCGGAGCTCGAACGACGACTACGTGATGCGAAAGCGCGGTTGAGTCCAGAATGTAGAGACGCGACATCGACACCCTCGTCGGCGGTGACGGGTGATGCTACAGGTACCGTTGTCGCATTGCCTACTCGTCCCTGTCCCCTTCCATCTGACACCTCGCAGCAGCCCTCCATGCTCTTCTCCTCCTTTCCGACTCGGCCCTACCTCTAGGTTCGTTCGCGTTTAGCAGTGGCTTGGAGTCTTATCTTGCGCATCACAAGCCGTCGCCGCCGTCGGCCTCGCAGGTACCGGCGTTTAACACGTTTCTCTGCCTCTCGTTGTCGACACTTGCAAGTACATCGCTGCCATATGTACTGGCTGGATATCGCAATCCGGGTGATATCGAGACGCTGGATAATGACTTTGACGCGAGTACACCGTGTACGGTTGCGCGACGAGCAAGCATAGCACAAGGACGAGCATTACTCGCGGTATGGGATCGGAGTTTCCGACCACAATATACAACCCAGGACGGCTCCGACCCAGCGGACACGACACCAGCATTAAAGGCGCTCGCAACCTTTTCCGCCGGACTCCGCTCCTCGGAGCACATCAACGTGCACCTGGCCCCGCTCTGGGGTCTCGTTACAAGCATCCTGGCCGTCCCGCTGCAACAGGCGGCTTACCTGTTTCTATTCTCGCACGCGCGGACGGTGGTTAGTGCGGCGGTTAGGGCGAGCGTCATGGGGCCGTATCAGGGGCAAGCGGTGCTTGCCAGTGGGGAGCTGCAGGATAGGATACGCGGGTTGGTGGATGAGGGGTGGGAGAGGGGGGTTGAGGATGCGGGACAGAGTGTTCCGGTTATGGATCTTTGGGTGGGGAGGCATGAGAAGTTGTATTCGAGGATATTCAATTCTTGATGTTGTCAGTTCTTTGAAGACTGAATGGCCTGTTTCCAAGCCAACCAGGGTGACTGACTGGTTTCCGATTGTTGCTCTCCCGCTCGCTGCTGAGCTAGTGGAGTACATAAGTACACAACTGCTTGTTCGGGACCAGATCGACGCAAGCACATGGGAATCGTACGATAATGGTTGCCAAGGTCGGGAGGCCCCCACCCACTACATTGACAGACCATTGCTCAGGCCGGCAGTGTGAAGATGACAAGAACACATCAAGAGAATCGAGAGCAGCTTTAGTAATAACTTGCAACCAGACTCAAAGCAGGAGGTCATAGTCCCGTCTCCTTGATGCCCTTTCCCACTTCTCTCACATCTGACTCACCCAGATTGAGACAGTTAACGGGGTGGATGGATCAAATACTAGACCCACATACCTTATACAAAGCCACGCAGAAAAGAACCCGAAAGACGGATTCCCGGGCATGCTATCACCAAGTCGTAGGGATGCATGCCGTCTCTTCGTGAACTTCGGTTTGGTGGTCTATGCGTCAATGCCTGGTCTGGTTGGTGTAACGGACGGGCCGAGTCGCTTCCAGCACATGCTCAACTCGGTCTAGCACATGCTTGTGGATGAAACGATGCATTGGTCAAGAGCCGCAGGTTGTCGCGATCCGCTCGTCAGTCAATTAACCTTTTCTGACATGTCAGTGTGAGTGTCAAGTCAAAGTATATTGCCTGCGTCGTCGGTGACAGCTAGCAAGCACCCCAATTGCAGCAAGTTGTAGTGCGTGTGGAGATTTAGTTGGAACCTCAGACGCAGCTCAAGACGACGCTCGAATTTCACGCTTTGTAATGATTTTCGCTCTTGCTTGCAAAGAGGATCGACGATTGGGGTTTTTCGATGTTGCTTCGATCACCAGTGCTGACTGTAATTCACGTCTCGAAAAACGGCGAGTCTGGCGGTATACAACAAACGCGCGCGCTCCGATCGTGAGATGTTCAACTCCATAATACTACAAACGCAACCCAACCGCTCACGGAAAGCCCGGGTGCCCTCGGAAATTGCCAGCACTCAGATTTTCCCAACCTCAAACCCGGCGGCGGGCTACCCATTCAATGCCTTGTTCCGCCAGGGATGTGAGGAACACCAATGCCTTGGCCATGGGTGTGAGAGCACGCAGCACGCTAGAAAGACGGACACCCGCGAGCCCCACTTTTCCTCACAATGCCCGAAGCCTCAGGACCGCTAGCCGCTTCTGAAACACGTGCAGCGTCAAGCTCGCACGCAGGGTGCGGAAAAGGCGTGGGAGATGGAGATGGCTGGCGTACAGAGTGTCGCATGTGTTGTGGATGAATCAAGGCCAGATGTATCAGTTGGGCAGATCAAGTGGCAGGCGTTGTAAGGTCCAGTGCTTGGACTGGGGGGGAACTGTCACAACTCTACACACGGATGCTCGCCGCACCCCCCACTATGGTTGCAGGATTGCTGCAGAGGGGGGGGGGGGGGTGTAGGAAGGGGTGTGGATATAAGAAAGCCACATACGCGCGAGGGGGGGTTGTCATTGTTATACAGTATAAGCCCAGTCCGCCAACGAAGTCTTTTGACAGCCATCACAAGCACCATCAGTCTCTCTCTTTCACACTCTCGCTTTCTTCTTTTTTTTTGAACAGGTGTTGCATTTACGCACACTCACATACATTTACATATAGACGTATAGACGTATTGCCAATATGCCTACACATGGAGAACGCAACATGGAGCAAGGCCAAGAAGCCTACTCCGCTCATTTCAACCAAGGACACCTCCAACTTCCTCCTACGCAAAGATACACGATTGGTTAGTTCTCCTCATCTCCCTCTCCGCAATCCTTCACCCATCTGACACCCCCCCAGTAACCTGCATGGACGCCCGCATCGACCCCACAGCCGCCTTCGGCATCCCCCTCGGCGCCGCTCACGTAATCCGCAACGCCGGCGCCTCCGTAAAAGACGCCTTCCGCAGCATCGTCATCTCGCAACAACTCCTGGGAACCCGCGAAGTCATGATAGTAAAGCACACATGCTGCGGCATGATGACCTTTGACAACGAAACCGCGCGTGCCGTGGTGCTGAAGAAGCGAGGCGAGATTGCGGCGCAGGAAGTTGAAAAGATGGATTTCCAGAGTTTCAGGGATTTGGAGATTCAGCTTAAGAAGGATGTACAGTGGTTGAGAATCAAGGCTATTGAGGAGAACATTCGGTTTAGCGGGTGGATATACGAGGTTGAGACTGGGCGGACTAAGAGGGTTTTGTAGGTGGTGGTGAGAGGAGAGAGGACGGGGGTTGGGCTGGTGGGATGGGCATGGGGTGAGGGTGTGTGAGATGATGGCGTGGTGATTTCTTGTGGGAGCATTTTTTTTCTCTTTTCTTTTGGGAGTTTGAGGGATATGGATGGGGAGAGGTATGACAGTGCTTGTGCAACAGGGTTGTACGATTATACCCTTGAAAATGATATACGTATATTTTCCAACTGTCTCGGTCTACTGAATGCCTTCCAGGTCGTGTTAACGCGAAGGCGTGCCATTTCACAAGTGAACTTGTAGTTGTAATCCGTGTGGTTTTGTGCGCATGAACTGTGAAGCTTGTAGTCACGACATTAAGTAGTCTATTGATCGATAAGAGTGATCCTAGAGGGTGTCTGGGAATGATGAATCGTAGTTGTAGTCATCTCGTGGGATTTGAGGGTAGTAGGCCTGTATAATGGGGTTGAAGCTTCTTGATACGGTACGGACTTGTTTATACAATATTCTTTGATGAAATCGGAAAGTTTGCGACGGTTGTGATGGTCAATTGTACGAAAGAGAGGGAAGCTGCCGGAGATAGCGGGGATAACGCTGACAGCCACCTTACCACTTGCGGTACAGCTTATCGATTACATATGCACGACCTCCGCACCTCAACCTCCGTCGTTGTAAACAACAACACAGCACTTCAATCTACGTTCAATCTGATATTGGCAGATGACTTGAAAGAATCTTCGGTCCTCAGAAATCTCCTACGCAGCTTTTCGACGACGGAAACCGGATGCGCCAGATTCGCCACTCCTGAACGAGTAGACACCATACATTCCTTGGCTTGATACACTTTTTTATACACTTGTCTCCTGAACTCGCTATGATGACTGAGAACACAACGCTCTGTGGACTGCCAGATGAACTTCTAGTCGAGATCATGCAACACCTCAGCATAATTCGCTCCGATAAGATACAGTCGTTTCACTTCCAGAAATTCATCTCAAGGGACCGAGAATCCGAGAATCGTGCTCGTCAGCTGGCACTATACAATCTCTGTCTGGCTTACAAGCATGTACGGCGCATAGCTACTCCAATACTGTATTCTTCCTTCACAGGAGCTGCTGATTGGAATGGGACACAACCTCTGAAACTGTTCCATCGAACTCTCAATGAACACAACGTTGTGGCTGGTCAACACTTCAAACACGCCGAGTATCTGCAGTATGTAGAGAATCGAGCTTTCGACGGTCAAGATATAGGTGACAGCTACGCCGATGAGAAAGATCCAGAATCGGCACATATGTTGGCCCATTACTTCTACTTACTGGCAGACATAGTCAATCAGGCTATGAACATACAAAACCTGACTGTCGATAGCTTAGAGACCCACAAGATCACGTTCTGGGGATACATTCTCCCTGGATATCATGGGATAACTGTGTTGGCTCGGCATGCATTTCGCAAGTTGCAAACACTACATGTCGGACTGATTGAACGGGCCACTCCTGGTCACCATCACATCACTCGACCTTTCTTCTTCCTCGAAATCGCTACAGTCATGACCTCAGTGCCGTTGCTTTCCAATCTCCAAGCTTATGGGTCCTTGGGTCTTGACGTAATACACGACGGAGTTTTCAGCGGATCTTACCAGCGCCTACAACGTCTGGAAATTCTCGATTACGGTGAGGATTTTGGAATAGTGGGGCAAATTTGGTCAGCATGTGAAGAACTTCAACACATCGTTTGTTTGTGGGCCCCTGCGATTTTCGAAGCCGAGGGCCCGTCTGCTCTATACCCCGCACTATTACAAAAGCTGGATACACTGGAAACGCTGCATCTCGATTTTTGTGAGGTGCATTTCGAAGATTCATCTATTGCGCCTGAGTGTCTTGGTACTCTGTGACCGTTGACATACTTGAAGCGCTTAACTATATCCGAAATCGGCTTTCTCTGTGTGGCTTCGCCCTACTCTGTGTCCAACGACTCTCCATGTTCATCTCGACTAGCTACGCTACTACCAAGTAATCTGGAAAGCTTCACGCTGCTAATTGACCTAGACCGTCACAGGCATTTACATCACAGGAGCAAAGGCGTAGATGACTTGGTTCTCATGTGGGGTCTGGTGACAGACTGCAAGTCCTCCACACCAAACCTGAAAGAGGTGAATATTAAAAGTTCCTCCGGTTCTATGGGTGAAGCTCCCCTACTTACCGCAGCATTTTCCCAAGTCGGTGTGCGATTTCGCGTCTTGAATGAAGACCAGTAGTAAGCGAGGAAACTGACATGCCGGCTGGACCACGTGTCAGATATCCAAACACTAGTGCGTTCCTCTTCGCATGAAGACACCTAAGTCGTTTGTCAATTCCCGCTAGATGTCGCCTGAGAGGAAACCTGTTGTCATGGATCCCGGGCACGTGTACTAGCGTCCTGCCCCCTCCTATAGAACCAGTAATAGAGACCTCCACGAGCAAGTTGCTCAAACACACCCACCGCCATGGCCCAATCCCAATATTCTCAACCCACAGCTGATACATTGGCATGGTGGCGGAGTCCATGCGTATTGCACGTTCTTGGTCGCGATGTATCTACTGTCCCCGCATACCCACCGCCTCAGCAACAAACAGCTTATCGCCTTTACGCGGGAATCGCCTTTACGCGGGAATCAGGCAAAGGATGGCATAACCGCGGCTGCGGCCTTACCAGTGAGCTCCGGGACCGGCAGCTGCTGTGTATATAAGGGCATCTTCTGCCCACCTGAGACTTGTTTCCTTCACGCGAATACTCACACCTTTGAGTATCCGAGTCACCTAAAAGATTTCTATTTGACATCTATCTTTCAAAATCGATCCTCTACTTGCCATCTATCTTCCGGACTTGGTACTTTCCTGCACGATTGAACTTTGCACCAAGGTCTTCAAGATATGTGAGTATCCTTGCATTTGGGATTCATGTATGTACACTTGGCTAATAGTTGCTTACAGTGTCCAGATACATTATCTGATTTTCCATACTTCGGACGAAACAACACATTATCTCACCTTCCATACTTTGGAAGAAACGATACATTATCTTACCTTCCATACTTTGGAAGAAACGTCACATTATCTCACCTTCCATACTTCAGACGAAACGACACATTATCTTAACTCCCATACTTTGGACAAAGAGTTACAGTATCTTACGTTCTATACTTCAGACGAAATGACTTGCAACGGCAACATCATGGCTCACCTAGACCCTACCGCAATCTCCGAAGTCAACGGGGCCTCTGTTGTTCAAGCCTCGCCTGAGGGCGACTCTTCCAGCAGCGAGGGTACTGCCAAGGATGCTGTCTCGTCTGAAGAGCCCACCGATTCTGTCCAAGGACCCAAGAAGCTCGAAGCATCCCCGGAAGTCAAGGCTGTGAGCCAGTCCAACGAGTCTAGTGATGGCGATGAGTCTGACCAGAACAAGTCCGACCAAGGCTACGAGTCCGGCAAGACCAATGCCTCAGGCAATGGCGGTGGAACCAGTACCATTGATGAAGTCAACCTTACCCCTCCGTCTTCGACACCGGAACAGCAAACCGAGCATCAAGAGCTGCCCGTTCCCAACACTTCCGAGTCCGAGGACAAGATAGGCTCGGCCATCGCCCAGGATGGACACAATAATCTTCTCGTAGCTTCAGAGCTTGGTATGTTTTGCACTGTGTTTGTCGCTGGCTTTTTGTACTAACAATCTCAGGAACCGTTCAGACCCCCAAGAAAAACAAAGTCGCACCGCGTTCTCCTGCAACTGAAGTCGAGAAGACCACGGTCACCACGAAGAACGGAGAAGGCGCACCCCAGGGTATACCAGTGACTCTTCAAGAGCCACCCACACTATCCAGGCCCTCTTATAGTGTCCCTCCCCACCTTCGTCCACGGGTACCTCATCAGTCCGGTCTCCAGAACTCTAGAGTAGGTATTCCACATCTCTCAGAGTTTGCTCTTGACTAACACAATCAGCAAATGCCACCGAGTGAGCTTGTTAGATTCAATAAGGGTTATCGTGGCCAGTCCAATTATCCCGCGCATGAGCCCAGACGCGACACGGTCAACCGTGAACAGTACACCAGGATCAGTGCCCAGCTGATGAAGGCGAACCAGGACCTTGCCGATGAGCGTGCCAATACCGTCATTATGCGAGAAGCCTTGCAAGAAGAGTACAACGTGAAGTTCGATGCTGCTTCTGCTAATCTTCTAAGCATCTATATCCGGGAACAGGTGGATGCCATCTTCGCCAAGACCCGCTTCCAAGCCAAGGAGGCCGAGCTGAAGTTCCGCGAGGAGAAGATTCAGCAGCTCGAAGTCTTCCTGGCAGAGGGACAGATGCAGCTGGCCAAGAAGGACGAGGAGGGCGGTGGAGAGCCGATGAGTGCTGTGCAGACTAGGCAAATCCGCCGTGAAGCGGTTCTGGCTACCAAGAACGACTTGGCCAAGAAACAGGCTAGGGTCAACGCTGAGAAAGAGTTGGTTGATATTACTAAAAAGGCTCAGAAGACGCGTGAGGAGTGTTACAAGACACTCATTCGTGAGTCTCTGCAGGCTGAGCTAAATAAGACCGCCGTTTCCAAGGACAAGGCCCACGAGACTGCCAAGGTCGCATACCACGATGGATTCGCTGATGGCAAAGAGGCCGGTCGCAAGGAAGTAGTACCAAAACCAGACAATCAGCAGGACAACTTCCTCGAGGGATACCGCGTATCCCATGTCACGCAGGTTCTCATGAGCAAGTTGCGCCAGGGCAAGATCCCCGCGGATAGCCCTCAGCTCGACTTCCTGTTCGATGCCAACCATGCGTACAATCCTTGTACCATGGGTGAGCGCTTGGGCCGTATGGAAGATGGCAATGTCACCACCGCGGTTCCCAACGGCAATGATAGTCCTACCGGCCATGCTACTACCAACGGTCATGCTTCTCCCACTGGCAATGCTGCTTCCAACAGCCATGCTGCTCCCAACAGCAATGCTTCTACCAACGGCCATGCTACTCGCAACACCACGGTCATGGAGCAGCCAACCACCAACGGTAGGATTGACGGCCCCGTCCAGCAGGAGCCCGAGGAGCCCGTTCACCGGTAAGTTCTCCTTCCCATCACTACCTGTACCTATACTAACTTCATCCAGGATGCCTCCTCCTCGACTGACCTTCGCCGCTGAGCTTCGCGGTCCGACCCCGATGCACAACGGTGACTTCATTCTTGCCAACTACCCGGCTGCTTCGTCTTCTACTCATCAGGCACCCGTTCAGCGTCCCGCTGTCCAGCCCCAGGAAGGTGAGAACCTGATTGATCTCTTGTAGATTGGGCTAGGGTGTGGTGAAGGTGTATAGGAAGACATGAGGACTGAGACTGAAGGCGTCTGGCTTTCGGGGATGAAAAGTGATTTACTTATTATCTGATTGGGGCTGCATATTCGTGGTCTTGGGTGTTTTGCAGGGTCTGACATTCTGGTGCTGCTTTACGGGGTACTTATGGGGTACTCATGGGGTACTGGTACTTGCCTTGATGGTGTTTTGCGAGGTCCATCTTGGTACTGAGATCCACCTTGACTACTCAGTCTGAAGATAAAATATTTGCTTATCAATTGACTGATTGCTGAATTCAAGTCTGAGTTTGATGTATACGTCTGACATGCCCTTGTGACTTAAGTCGTTCCCGGTTACTCGTATGCATCGAACATCCGTAATCCGAGAAGAACTATGAAGTCTAGAGACGCTTGTATACACCAGAGCTCCTTGTGGATACTCTCGGTATCAATCTGCATCTGCTTGGTATACGTCCGTCTCCACATAACATAGCCACCGTAGACACGATACATGCCACGTATACCCCAACTCATGACCTATTCACCCCTGAACATTCCATCTTTCTTTTCCCTAAATGTCGAACAACCAAAAACATCCGTGACCTGGTGTTCCGCAACAAAACCCCAAGCTCACGCACAGACCACCCACGCGCAAGCGCGGCAAGAACATGACGATTCCCGATTCCCACCTCATCATCGCCCCAAGTACACCATCGCCATCCATCGCCAACTCCAACCACCACCACCCAACAGAAAACCTGCGGCTTCTCATCGGACGACGGCAAAGCGCCTACCTAACTACCTACGCATCTCGACTTCACGACTCCTCTCAGCCGTAGATCTACAGCTGCCTGCTGCACCGTCTTCGTCTCCTCCGTCGCCGCCTCCTCCGCAGATAAGCTACCGATACCCGGAACCACCAACTTATCCACTCACCCACGTCGCCCATCATGGTCAAGCCCGTAGTCTCCGCGATGAACGCCTGGACCTGGTATGTGGATGCTGGTTTACCTTTGCGCAAAGGGACAAGGAGATGCTAACGATGGGAACAGCATCGTCGTGTCTATGTTTGCGATTGTGATTTTGAGTACTATTGGCGCTTTGTTCAAGGTGAGTTTTGCAACCCCGGGGAGCTGTTTGCGCGAGCATGGTGTGGGTTGGATGTGACTGTGACTATCACATTCACCCGGGCGCAACGGGAGGTTTTGAAGGCCGAACCGCAAGAGCTAACAGCAATAAAGGGAAGCAGCAATGTCGTCATGGGCGGCCACGAGGACCCCAAAGATGGAAATGCTGTTGCAGGCGCCGTGTTTGGCGCTGTGTTTATTTACATTGTATGTTTGTCCCATGTTTCCTTCTACCAAGAAAACGCGGTTTTGCTAATTGTGACGGATAGGGATTCTTCGTCTTCTGCGGACTCCAAGCCTTCCTTCATATGCGCGAAAGCCGTCGCGGCGCGATAAGCCTCTCATAATTCTACTTCCCCGATGAATAGATGTGGTTGCGCCATCAGGGGCGGACATAATGTACGATGACAGGGACTATGGGAGGATATGACGCGGCACTGGGATGCGCGCACACGTCAGCATGCATGCCTGGGGAAGGGGAGAGATGGGGATTATCTGTATCTTGTAACATTGCACAAGGCGTTCTGGTAGCTACTGGTGGTTTTGGTACTGCGTTTTGTAGGATGTTATTGAGTCTGGTCGAATACCATGCTATTTGTACATGTGCATCCGTCTGAAATAGATGCGGATACGACGTCCATGCGTCGACATCAACTCAGCCACCCTACCACTCCCTCTCCCACAGCGGCTCAAGCGTCTTGCTCATATACGGCCCATCAAGCCAATACCCCAACTTGGCATAGTAACTCCTTACACCCACCCCAGAAATCACACTAATCTTGCTACTCCCATGCTCCTCCCTCGCGATCCTCTCCGCCTCCTCCATCAACAGCGTCCCATACCCCTGATGCTGGAACCTCTTCGGATCCCTCGCATGAATCGGAACCGCAGAGCCATAAACATGCAACTCCCTAACCAACGACGACGGCTGACCCACCAACTCCTCCCTAAACGTATGTTCCTTTGAACACTGCCGTAGCCTCAACAACGCAATCAAAATATCCTGTTTCGGATCCTCATACGCGAGAAAAGTCTCCCACCCACCGTTTGCCGTGTAGTCCCTACGCACGAGTTCGACCTGATCGGGCCGGATCTTGTGTTTAACCTCGTTGATGCCGACCTCGCGGGTGCGCACATCGCGACAACTCGTACCGAAATCCTTCATTCGAGCGAGGGCCAATTCACGCAAATTACCGTTTTCAACACCAGAGGTAACCAGTGGCATGGGGATATCGCGCTGGACGCGGTAGATGCGTGTCCAAGGCGGTACGAGCGCCAGGATACGAGCGACGATATCGATGAGAGCATTAGGCGTATAATTCTTATACCGCCCCGTACGCCAGAGTTCGTAAAGCCCCGTCCCTCGAATAACGAGCGTGGGGTAAATTTTCAAGCCGTCGGTGCGGAACGCAGGGTTTGAGAAGTATTCGATGAATTGGTCGAGGTCGCGTTCCATTCCTACGTTTGGCAAGTCCGGCATCATGTGCGAGACTACCTTGAAACCGGCGTCTTTTGCGAGGCAGAAAGTTTTTGCAACGGCGGCGACGGTGTGGCCGCGATTTGTGTCGCGGGCTACGTCTTCGTAGAGGGACTGGACGCCGATTTCTAGGCGCGTGCAGCCGTAGCGGAGCATTGAGGAGAGGTGTTGGTCTAGACAGTAGTCTGGGCGTGTTTCGATTGTTATGCCCACGCATTTGATGTTGCTCATTTCGCCCGCGGCAACGGCTTCGTCGACGTTGGTGGTTTGGTAGCCGGAGAGGGCGTTGTGCAGTTGCGAGATGAATTCGTCTCGGTACGACTCTGGGAGCGACATGAAAGTGCCGCCCATGATGATGTACTCTACCTTGTCCACGCTGTGGCCGAGCGACTTTATTTGGTCTACCCGGCCACGGGCTTGCTCGTAGGGGTCGTAGCGTGCGCGGATGGCACGCATAGATGTGGGTTCATAGCCTGTGTAGGATTGAGTCGAGTACTCAAAGTCGGAGTCTGGTCCTCCGGGGCAGTAGACACAAATGTTGCCAGTGTAGGAAATGTGTGGGCACCGATGAGGTTTGCACATTACTGCTACTACTGCTATACCTGATGACGTGCCTAGACAACATCAGTTTGTATTCTCACGTGATATCATCTGAGAAGTGACATACGAATCGGCTTTGCAATAAGTTTCGGCAAGATGTACTTCTTGTAATGCTCGGGCACTGCCGCAATAATCGCCGTAAGCGGCGGTTGACTTTTTAGATAATGCTTCTTCGCAATTTGGCCCCGTAGAGAATTCAAATTTAAATCTTTCTTTGGCTTTGACCCATCGGCTTGTGCTTCGTAGTCTTGGATGAGCGCATTCGCAATGTCTGCACATGCGTGCATGTACCGCTCATTCTCCGGTGGCAACTTTACATTCTTTGGCAGCCTCCTCTTATGTTGCGTCTCTGTTACTGTCATTGTCGCCATGGCGGTGGGTTATTTTTGATCTTCTGGCTGGGGGTTGAAGTTTGCTAGATGGCGAATCTTTAGACGGTTGAGGCTCGATGTGGAGTCACGGGTGGGGGAGATATTTTGGAAGGAACTAGACGGGTTTGGGACTAGTGTAGTTCGCTTGATGTTGCTGGAGAGCAGAACCGTGAAGGTCATCCAAAACCACCTTCTTTGTAATCATCGCAATACGGAATCATACATCTACCGGTTTGGATCTGCGAGCCTATAAGTCTTGAGACTGGCCGATTCGTGCGTCATTTGCTAGGCTGTCGCCCCTCACGCAGCGCTGGTATGCGCGGGCATAACTCTCTCCGCAGTAGCATGTGAGAATGACGCATTATGGTAGATCCCCAGATTGAACTAATGATTGAGGACTCAAACTATATACACAGTACGTAAACAATGAGTATGATACATTTTTAAACAATCGCTTCGTTACATCATCAAAGTCTCTCCATCCACAATCACGCAAAGCTAGAAGGCGTCCTCTGCATTCCCAGCCTAGGATCAGACTCAAGCACCGAACCGCCAAGAGGAACATCCGCACCATGCTGAAGCGGTGCATAAAGCTCGTCATTAGTCGCCATGGCAGGACTCTCCAACCTCGTCTCCATCCTTAGAGCTTGAGCCTGGGCGGTATCACCTGGCGCCACACCCCGACTACCAAGGTAACTAAACCGTCCAGTCTGACTTCCTGTCATAGCTCCAACAGGACGCTGCAGTTTCACAAACGTCTTCTCCGAGTTACCGGATCCCAGTCTATCGCTTCCTGTGGAGTTCGATCGGAACTGGGTGCCGTACATGCCAGAAGTAGGAAGTGCATCTGAGCTACGTTTTCCTTGGCCATTAGCCACGATACCGCCATCTGGACCGCCAGCTTCGGCAACAGCGGCTTTTTCGGTGAGCTCGGTGGCGACTTGGTGAGCATCGTATTCGTTGATACCAGCGGCAAGCAACAGGTTCTTCTTCTTCTCGATGATGGCGGCATGATCCATGTCTTGACCTGGGTTTGCAGTTTCGTATTCGAGAACCTTGATGAACTTGTAGAAGCCGGCTGCAATTACAGATCCGAGGATAGGTCCTAGCCAATAGATCCAGTGGTAGTGGGTAAACTCCAGATTGACAACAGCTGGGCCAAACGAACGAGCTGGGTTGAGAGATCCACCGGTAAAGTATACCCCCGACAACTCTGTGATGAAGAGCGCCAGACCGATACCTGCAAATTGTTAGCACTCCACTCCACCCAACGCTCACAGCAACAACTTACCAACCGGCGCAATAAAAGTACCCTTATGCTTCTCCGCCGCCAACATAAAAATCGTAAACACCAGCTGCGCGGTCAAGAACATCTCAATAAAGAGACCTTGGGTAATAGTAGTCCCCCCACCCAACTTCGTTCTCACATTCAGTTCACCCGGAAACATACAGCTCACCAACCCCGCCGCCGCCATACCACCCAGAATCTGCGTCACAAACAACAACGCACCCCTCACCCAAGGTAGCGCCCCAATCAAACACATACCAAACGTGACCTACACAAAACCGTTAGCATAGCACACCTTGCCAAGAAGGAGACAAGGTCCTAGGAAGGGCAAAAAGACTTACAGCAGGATTAAACAACCCCCCACTAATCCTAAAAAACACCCACGCATTCACCGCCAGCGAAAACCCAAAACATAACGCTATATACTGCAACTGCTGCGGATTACTGCCCGCCTCCGCCACCGTCTTCCCCCCAGACGACGGTATACTGTTTGCGACCTGTGCGCCGGATAGGGCGAAGAAGAGGAACAGGACTGTGCCGACGAACTCGCCGCACATGGCGACGAAGTGGTTGCGGATGTTGTCTGGGACCCGGCTTATGAAGGGGAGGCGGAGGTCGCGGTCTGTGAGGGTGGCATTGGGGTTTGCGGCTTTGGTGAAGGGGAGGGCAAGGGCGCGGCCTTGAACGGGTTGCTGGCGGGCCGTGTTAGAGGGTGGTAAATGGAAAGAGGATGAGGCTTACATTGATGTTCATGGTGGTGGTACAGACAGAATCTCTGTATGAAGATTTTTGAAGAAAACGGAAAGTAGCCACAAAGAGACGATACACTCTAACAAGAAACGGATGCAAATACACTGGATAGATGGGTATACACCTTTCTGTTCTATCAAAACACAAAATGATAACCCAAATTGAACTAACTTGTCACCAGCCCATGCCCACCCATCTATTCTATAAAAACTCCACACGCACACGCACACGCACACGACATCATCATCATCGCCATCACCATCACCCCTCAAATCACTAACCCACCAAACCCGCCTCCCAAAACACCCACATCCGTCATCCATCCATCCACCCCACAACGCCTCCATCCAGACCACTCCATCCAAACCCCCAACCTCTAGCCCCAACGCCTCCATCATCTAGCCCGTTACCCTTGCGCTCCACTCTCGTCAAAACATTCCTTTTTCCCAACGTCCCAGCTGGATTATGACATTTCCCCGTCCCATGTGCTGCGGGCTATGACACCTATTCCCGCCGCGTGTAGTGACCATGCACCTTTCCCAACTACAAACTTACCATATTAGGACAAGACACGCAAACCAAGCGTCCGTGCTATTCGGCCTAGACGGGTGTTTCTAGTCTGGGCGAATGACCTGGAACTCCGGATTAAACTCCGCAAACTTATAGTCTCCCCGTCCGCGTCGCAAGAACTAAGAACTAACGACTTGAAGTATGAGCTAACGGCAAAACATGACGCACATGACACGCTGGTACCGACACCAGTATAGCAAGCATCGGTATTCACGCGTATACATCGACTTTTGGATGCGCAATCTTCTGTTGGTCTGGTCTTTGCTTACTTAGCTTTCCGCACTCGCGTCCACCAAAGCAAAGCAACCGATTTCAAATATGCCACTGCCAGCCCCTCAAATAGCAAAGTTTCAACCAGAGCTGGACCTGGACCAGGTGCTTGGGAAAAAAGCTAGGTGCGTCATTACAACACCCAGACCTTCCAGCTTTGACGACATGAGTTAGCATTCGTTCGGTCAGTCATATTAGTGACGGACAGCGTAGGAGGCTTATAGATGTGTGGAGATATAGATATAAATACAAATAGCGGACATGTAGGATAGACTATAAGGTACAGTAGACAATAGGGGGTTGGTACACAATGTCGATAAGAAAAAACATGGTGAATCGAAGTTGGGGATTTCACGATCTGCGATGTTGAATCTGTATTTTCTTTTGCCAGTCCGCGCATCGCATCGCACCATATCGCATATGCACCTATTCTTCTAACGCTACCAACCCTCCAACGCTATTGAAGTATTGACATTTCCGTCCTCTATATCCCATCACCACCAACAAAAATCTGCAACAGCCTTCATTATCATCACTGCAGCTACAATGCCAGATGGATAGACATCACAACAGCAAAAAAAGATCTTGGTCACTACGAGGGTCGAACTCGCGACCTTGGCGTATCACACAAAGGCAATTTGTATTAGCACCACGCTCTAACCAACTGAGCTAAGCGACCGGTTATTTGGTTGTTGATAGAATAATTTAATGCTGCTAAATTTATGTATTAATGTTTTGTTTCGCGCGGGTGGGTTTTAATGTGGGATGGTGGTTGGGGTGCGGGGAAAGTTACCGAACCGAACCGGATGTTTTCCCCACTTAATTTATGTAGGAAGGAAAGGATAAGAAGGAAAGGTTGAGAATGGGAATATGAATAGAATAGTGTAGTTACAGTAATGTAGCACAAAACCCAGGACGCGTAGAATAAGTCTTAAACCACCCATTTCCAAGTCGTAAAACCCCACGACTAAACGCGTATAAAACATTTCACCACCACCTAACAAGCCCCTCATATCCCCCTACAACCCCACCACCACCATCTAAAAAGCATCCCCCGCAAGATCCTCGGCCAACCCCTCCAACTCCTCCAAGCGAAACGGAACCCACAACCTCTCCGCCCCCATCCCATCCTTCCGACTCTCAATCATCTGATGGTCGTGGAATTCCTTCAATAGTGTCCGAAAGCTGACTTCACTCGTGCAAACAAACGCTTCGACGGCTTTGTGGTAAAGGACACGGTATTCGACGCCTTGAGCGGTTTCTGCTGGGTTTTGTGCGGATTTCTTAGAACGTGGTGTAGCGGTAATATTGTTGTCGTCGTCGTGTTCGTTGTCTTGTGTGAAATCTTCTGTGAGTGAAAGAGCGAGTTGTTCCATAACTAGGATACGGAAGAGTTCTCTAGCTTGTTCGGGCAGGGAGCGAAGAACAAAGCCTACACCGTCTCTGCCGCCGACGCGTCTGCCGCTGCGACCCAAGAGTTCGTTTGCCGTCTCCACGGTGTCGATTTCGGCGGCGTAGGGCGAAAAGGTTGTGGCGTCGTGGAAGAGGAATTTGTATTGTGTTTTTAGGCCGACGTCCCAGAGGAGGGGGAAGTGGGGTGTGTCGGCTGTGCAGACGAGGTTGAGGGAGGGGTGGTTGGCTAGGCGGGCGAGCATAGTGGGTATGTGGGTTTTGCGGAGGTGGGGGGAGTCGATGGAGTTTAGGATGATGGGGATGGCGTGGGGTGGGGGGTTGTGCGTTAGATGGTCGAGGAGGAAGTCGAGGAGGAGGGCTGTTGGTTGGGTGGTTTTAGACCTGCTGGGATGACTGATGATGCGATTGTTACCAAGATGTCCTTGATGGTTATACCAGCGCTATACCCGTTTATGACAACAATCTTTGGTGTCTTCTTTGTTCGCTTGTATGACGCGGAGGATACGAGGTGATGGTATAAGCGTGCGGTGAATCGTTCGGTGATTACGCGCTTTGAACCGTAGCCATATAAACATATATTGAAGCCTTCTTCGAGCTCGAATATCCACTGGTCGTAGGCACGCCCGTGTAGTTGGATTAAAAAGTCAACCTCCGACTGATGACGGTCTCGATACGACTGCATCGCCTGGAAGTATTCATCGTGATTGAGCAAGCTCTGCGAGGAAAGCGTGTTGTTGGAGGTTTTGGTGGCACCGGGGCGATTCTGCCAGAAGTATTCCTCGTGCGGAGGGAGTTCGGTCGGTGGAGTTGGCGAGCGTTGCTTTCGTGGTCGTCCTACTTTGCCTGACCCCTTTGGCCGGCCTCTTCCACGTTTTGAGGGTGTATCCGGCACTGGTGCCTCCTGAGTGGCCTCTGTTTGCTCGACTTGCTCCACCTCTTCATCCAGAATATGTTCGGCGAGTTCATCCTCCTCATCCAACACGTCGTCATCGCTGTCTTCGCCATTCAATGTGCGTTGGAGAATACGTCTGTTGCTCTTCCTGCGCGCGCTTCGGTCGGCATTGCGTACGATGGTCGGGGTGCCATTGGGCGAATCACGTTTGGCAGATTTGGTTGGTGTTTCGAAGACGAGTTTCCGGGTTGACTTGGGCGTCGCGGTTATGTCATTGATCAGACCAGTCTTTTTGAGAATAGAGCGCGGCGTCCCTAACTCGGCCCGCTGTTGTGCCTTCCCCTTTCTCGATGGAGTGTGGGCTTGAACGGTATCCAATTCATCGCCAGTTTCGTCTGCAATTCTGGCGCGCAACTTTTGTGGTGAAGCCTCCTCGTCAATGTCCTCCAAGTCGCGTCTGCGCTTTGTGCCAACCATGTCGTGTGTTGATGTTTGGTTGTGCGACAATGGTCGACGGGTTGACGCGACTTACGCGACAGGCTTGGCACGTGTTTGCGGCTCAAAACTCTATTCATCTGTACATATGCACTCAACACTCGGAATCACCGACAGACGTGTTGTCGCATACAAAGATGCAAGAGATGATGCATCTTGGCATGGTATAGTACACAGCAGTCGGATGCACGTGGATTACCACGCGTCACACAATCACATGTCAGCATACGCATCCAGACCATGCAAGACGATGCGGCGACGATGCAAACTGGTGGGCAAGGAAGTCCTGTATTAACAGCCTGGTCATGCACGATTATGTCAGGCGACCGCCGTGGATGTTCGCGGGCCGTGGGTAAGCGTGGTTTGGCTTGTCCGCGCGCTATCGTCACGCTACAATCACCAGTCTATGGGCTCCGGGTGACTCTATATGTGTATGCCGTGGTCCATAGTTGCTCCGAACAGATGACAGCTTCAGGTGCCTGATTCGAGTCCATGTCTCAGCACGACGTCACGGCAGGCTGAGGCTGAGACGTGTTGCGATTGCGAATAGGTGGTAGGGCTCCAAGGCATCTGCATTAAAGGGAGCCCGATAGGGCGTCCAGGTACATTAGTGTTAGCGAACATGTGGAATGTGGCTAGCCAGGGTTGCGCTCACGCTGCTTTGATGATCTCACGCATGCCGGCTGCTCCTCCTCAATTTCCGTCGTCCAGTTCGTCCGCGCCTGCCCCGCACAAGCCCAAAACTTCACCTTTGCCTGCACGCCTACTGCCATACCAACAACACCCCACAAACACCCTCGCCCCCATTTGTCACCCTGCAAACGCGCTCGCGACCATACCTTCACCACCACCCACGCCGACCACCAGCCCTGCAACTGTGCCGCCGCCGCCGCCGCCGCGCAAGAACCCCGTGTGGCGCAGACGAACCGGCTCTTCTCACCATCGTCCGGTCCTCAACTCCAAAGCCCATGCCAGTATGGAACCAAGACGGCGGCCCGAGTACAACCTCGAGATCTTTGCCGATGCCGCCTGTGTCAAGGACGTGGTAAAGGGTGAGTCGCTCCTTCCCTACGCAACCTGTTCTTTCCAAACATCAGCCCAACCTACCACCCCGCAACCCAACTTCCCCATACGGACATGACTGACTTGACGCAGCCATCTTGCACACCATCTTCTTCCACCGGTACTTCACCTCCATCTCGCCCCTGACTCGCGACCTCCTCGACCTCACCCTTCCCGCCATCGACGATGTTGATCTCGAGACGCTCATCGAGCAAAAGACGTTTGCCCTGGTACGCGCCATAGACAGCACCCATCAACCGAGAGGAAGGGGGCAAATTGTAGTCCAGTTCTTTGAGAAGAAGAGGAGAAAGACGTACTTTTTCGGCAAGGCAGACGAGGATGTTTGCTGGGAGCAGTGGACGCTGGACGTTACTCTTGCACAGCCACGGACCGAGACAGGTAGGTTCGTTTTTGCAGCGCATGCTGAATATACTAACCCCTTGTAGATGTGCTCAAAGTCCGTCGCGCTATGACAAAGTCGCTGGAAAAGGCGGCGCACAAGATCATCGCCATCGTCAACAGAGACAAAGACCACATCCCGCCCATTACCACCACCGATGCCAACCCCTTTCCCTACCAAATCGTCGTGAACCCCAAATCCGTCAACGAAAATGACTGGCGACCGCGCATCGGCCTCTTCTAAACCTTCGAAAGCAGTAATAGATTTCAACTGTACATAGTTTCATCGACTACGTTTGAACAGGTGACTCAACTCCACCACCAGGAGGTAATAATACATCGCCACATGCGACGCAAAAAGAGAGGGAAAAGTTATTCATTTTTCATTTACCAGCTACATGATAGACCGATCAAACGAGGCGTTGATGCGCACCCCCACCCTTTTTACCCCCATCTTTACCACCACCACCGTCACCACAACCAAAAGCCCCCCATTGTACAGTGTCCGCTATGTCGGACAAAAACTCCCCAATACCAGATTCACACTCACATTCCACATGTTCTGAACCCGCGGATATCGGGTGTCTTTTTTGTGTTTCTCTTTTCCTAACTTTTTTTTCTTTGATGCTGTAGCTACACAAGATACCCCAATTCCCCAATGAAATTCTTTTTCCTTTGACTTTGACTTTGACATGTGCCTGTTGGAAACTGAATATTGTGGAGTGTGTTTCGATCCTGTCGCATTCGAACTTGTGATTCAAGCGTAGCCTTGGCAGAGGTTTCACCGTAACCACTCGTCTAAACGGTGTGGGCATTATCCTGTCAAAACGAAACTGTTAGATAGGGCTTGAGTGTATCGAGTAGACTGACGTGTGTGGAGTTACAAGTATGGGGTAAAAGGTTCTATTTCCAACGGAGTTCGTGTATGTGGGTATATTGTACAATATTCTTCATCTAGGACGGAAATGTTTGTCTAAATATAATACGCCTCCCATCTCCCATGTGTAATAGTGACGAGACGAGTGTATACATCTCTCCTACATCATCCCCCATCCTCCCAATCTATCCCCCAGCCCCAGCCCTAGCCCTGCCCATCCCTCATCGCCTCATCCCACTTCACCCACCGTCTAACAACCTCATCAACCCCCCTAACCCCCTCACGACTAGCCTCGACTTCAAACCATTCCTTGTGAGCCTTTCCACACGCCTCGCATTGTTTGATTACGCGTTGGGCGGAAAGCTCGAGGTGGATTAGTCGTTCGACACGCATTGCGTGGGGGACTTTGCGGACGGTGGGTGATGGTGAAGAAGAAGCGGGGTGCCGGGATGGAGAGGGCGCTGGGGATGGGGATGGAGAGCAAGAGGGAACATAGGGGTAATACCGCACAAGCGATAAACTATACCCACATTGACGCGACCATTCGTTCATGCGGCGGTGGACGTTGTTTGCGCGGCCGATTTTGAGGAGGATGGTGTCTTTCTCCTTCTCCCCTTCTTTCCCATCCTTTACCCCTGCCCTGTTCGCCCCTCCACTACTCCCCCCGCCTCTCCCAGCAACACCACCACCACCACTGCCCTTGACAGAAAACTGTCTCATAACATCACTCGTTCTCCTCTGCCCTCCTCTCCCCGATGGCGGCGTCAACAGACTAGAAGCAGTAGAAGCCGGTGCCGGACCCGCTGTCTCGGGTGTAAGCCAGAAAATGTAAATGTAACCTTCGTCGTCGTGGGGGGAGATTGGTTTGGAGAGTTCGGCGAGCAAGGTGGTGGTGATGTGGGGGGAGAGGTGCGGGGGGATAGATGGGTGGAGTTGGGTTTTTTGGGGTGGTGTTTGGGAGGGGGAGGAGGGTTGTGCTGGGGTGTTATTGTTACTACTAGAGCGGCGGCGTCGCTGGTGTTGTGACTGTGGTAGTTTCTGGGCTTGTTGGATATCTGGTCTGGGTTTGGCGTGCTGCGGTGTCAATATGACGGCTTCATCGTCGTTGTCGGCGAAGCCACAACATAACGAAGACCAAAAACTTTGTTTTTTCCTCTGCGGGCTCGGTTTCGACGGACGAATGTGGTCTTTCCGTTTCGCCATCAAATCATTGGGTACAGACATTAAAGGTCCTTGAACTGTATCCCAAGTCGGTGGCCGATTAACCCGTCTCGGTGGTCGCGACGATGTAGATGGTCTCCTCTCTTTCTTTTTCTTCGGCTGCGTCCCAACCTCTTCTTCTCTTCCCGGCTCATTAACATCGAGGACGCCAAGTCTCTCAACAAGCGTATCAATGCTATTCCTTTCTTTCAGCGGATAAAGCTGTGTAGCAGGTCCACTTGATGTTTGTGCAGCCAACTGCTCAGCCTGGTCCTTGTGTTGCCAGCAAAAGTACGCAGCAGCTCCAATTTCTTCTTCGTCGCTGTCGTTGCCAACGGGTACTACGGCTATTACGCCGTTGTCGTTGGATGTTTTGGCGTCGATGGGGCGTCTACATGGTCGTCCGGATTTGGTGATGCCTTTACATGTGGTAGCTGGGTTGCGCGAGTCTGAACGCGGGATGAGTGACTCTGGTGTTCTTCCTGTGAACATGGTGGAAAGATGATGTGAAATTGTAGATATATTGAAATGTTGTGGCTGGATGATAAGGACTAGAAATATTTAAGAAACTTGGTAGAGCGCATTACACATGCACGTGGAACAATTCACAGTCTCGTCGCCACGTGAGGCGTGAAACTATGTAAGAGGCTGTGACAAGAGTAATGAGCAGTCTCGATATTAGGTAGAGACTCTCGCCCAGACGCGGCGTTGCCAGCGCATTATGAACCAGTCAACTTGGAAGTGGAGCGGTGGCTAAAAAGAAATGGCGGGACTTGAGAAGACGAGCCGGGTGCGCGGGTGTGGCTGTGCGTGTGGCGCAGCGACTGTTACTAGATGACACTTGTGGAGCTTTCATTCATGTTATCAATTTTCCTTGCTATGCTCCCATAAACCAGTATCTACAACCAACTTCATAGCCATCTGTTCATACATGATACGCGTAAGGTACCGTCCCCCCACTATCGCGGTGGCCCCCACTTGGCCTTGTCTCTCAAGTTCCAGCTTTTGCTGCGCACAAATCCGAGAGTACCATCACGTACGTAGCTAAGGCCAGCAAAGGCATGTATATCCACCAGGATTACTGTGAATTTGTTAAGAAAGGTGGGCGCTAAATTTGGGGCTGGAGCAAAGCACTTACACGTTGAGTGGGATGCCAAGGTTAATCGTGGGCTCGGCGGGGCAGGGGCATACGTCGGGGATACCACATGCAGTGGTCTTGCGAGAGCCGTCTTTTTCTCTAAACGGAGTTTAGCAAGTTAAAGGTATGTGTTGGATAATACTTACCCGATGGTATAACAGTTCCGACGGCGAGGATCTGAATTACAGTAATCCGTATCGTGATCAGAGCAGCCACCCTGATAATAGCCAATTTTTTGACTTGCGACTGTGGATGCAAACACCGCAAGTAGAAGTGGGAGTTGAAACAACATAGCGAAGATTGATAAGTAGGTTTTGTATGTGGATGATGGTGTTTATGATAACGAAAAGGAAAGGCAATGAGCCTCTTTATATACACCTCTCCACTAAAGTCCGGACGTTCTGGCTTGTAGATGATTTTGATTTGTTCTAATAACCGCTTGTGCATACGGAGACCGTGCGTTCCACCATGCTCAAGGTGTTGCGGTTGAGGTAAAATTGAGCGCAGTGTAAGAAATTCACTCTCCCTACCTGGGTAGTCTTTCGGTAACACTGCCTAGGTAGGTACTATCAAAAGCTACATAGTAGTACTTGAGTAAACTCTAGTACTAATATTGTTGTTAAGTTGAAGACTATTGTTGACATGTCACTGTGCGAAGGATTGATTCGACACGCGTATACGACGATCGGCTATCGGCCAAGAACCGATTCTTGCTGGAGTATGCCCGTGAATCTTGTCCATCACCACTCGTCGAATGAGGCCTTATCCCATAAACTTCAAATCTCGCTACAGAAAGAGCCTCAGTTGCATCATTTTATATAAAAATGGCATTCACCCGGTCATGTATACGACACGCATCTCTAACCTTCCTCCTCCCTCCTTGTGCCTCCGATGCTCGGCCGCTTCGTTATACCTGCCAACCAACACACTTCCCTGGTAGTCTCGGTCTTACACGCGTCGAGATTAGCGTTCACAGCCCCTTCCAAAAAATGAGAACACCCAAAAAGGCAAAAAGAGGAAGATTTTGCAGCCCCAAACAGGCAAAAAAGGAAGATACTGTGCATCGGCCGGGAATCTAAGAGATGTTAGAGCGGATAATCGAAGACTGGTTTCAAGTAAACTTACCGAACCCGGGGCTAGCCGAAACTGTGGATGGCAACGGCTAATTTTACCACTAAACCACCGATGCTTGACGGAAAATTGGCAAGATTTGGAGAATATGTACTTGGTGATTTGGTGTTCGGGCTGTTTTCTAGATCGGAAATTAACAATGTCCGCACACTGCTTCTACGGTAAAGGTGGTTACAGTGCCGGTGCGCGTAATGCACAGGTTCGCGTAACGCCCCACCCCACCCCATCAACAACACAACTTCAACGCGCCACAACTCCACCAATATGGATCCGATTCAAGAAGCGATTAAAGAAATAGAATCGCGCGAGCCAGGAGATGATTTCTCGTACAACAAAGTTGCTGCCAAGTACGGTGTTGAGCGCAGTACGCTCGTTCGACGGCATCAAGGCCTAACAAGACCCCGCAACGTTGCGCATCAAGTCCTCCACCCAGAACACGAAGCCGAGCTTGTACGATATATCAAAACGCTTAATGAGCGACGTTTGCCACCTACAAGGACAATGATACAGCAGTTTGCCGGTGAGCTGGCTGGCAAACCGGTCTCCAAAAGCTGGGTTACCCGGTTCATCCACCGGCATCCCGACCATCTTATCTCTCGCTATAGCAAAGGCATGACTAAGGAACGGACTAAAGCTGATTCCGGAGCCAAGTATAACTTATATTTCAAGCTTCTCCTTGAAAAGATGGAGGAGTATGATATACAGCCGATCCATATATTTAATATGGACGAGAAGGGCTTTCAACTTGGCCGAGTTGGGAGAACAAAGCGTATATTTGACAAGAGACTCTGGGAGCAAAAAGGGGTAAGGCAAGCACTTGAAGACGGCTCCAGCGAATGGATAACAGTAATGGCTTGTATTTGTTCTGATGGCAAACCTCTGAGTCCTACACTCATCTTCCAGGGAGCCAACGGAGCTGTTCAATCAAGCTGGGTTGAAGCTATACAAGCAGGGGAGCACTCAGTCTTTGTAACCTCATCTCCCTCCGGCTGGAGCAACAACGATATTAGGTTAGCTTGGCTCAAGGGGGTGTTTGAAAGAGAGACCAGACGACACGCTTCGACCGGGTATCGATTACTACTCCTTGACGGCCACGGATCCCATGTAACCATGGAGTTTATTGAGTATTGCCACGACAACAAGATCCTCTTGTTTGTATTTCCCCCTCACGCTACCCATACGCTTCAACCCCTTGACGTTGTTATGTTTAAACCCCTCTCGAACGCTTACTCAACTGAGTTGGCTAGATACCTTCAGGACAGTCAAGGGTTGCTCAATTTGACCAAAGGAGACTTCTTCCCACTCTTCTGGAGCTCCTGGACCTCTGTATTCAAACCTCCACTCATCAAGAGGTCTTTTGAAGCCACCGGTATACACCCAGCCAACCCAGACGCTGTACTCAAGAAGTTTGCCAAGGAGGCTTCAGATTCTGACAGCAGCCAGTCAGTACTCTCCGGGGAGGATTGGCTCAAGCTCAAGTCAATTGTACGCCGTGAGGTGAAGGATCAGGGCAGCAAGGACGTCAAGAAGCTTCAACAAAGTTTGCACCACATTGCAGCTCAAAATACACTCCTCTGCGGTGAGGTTAGGGGCCTCAGGCGGTCCCTAGCCATCAAGGAGAGGCGACCAAAGCAGTCCTTCACCCTCCAGCTTGATGAGGACGAGGTTTACCATGGGGGAGCAAAAGTCTGGTCGCCCAGGAGTGTACAACGAGCTCGCGATCGTCGGGCATCACAACAACAACAACAAGAGCTTGAAAAGCTTCAAAAAGCTGAGCAAGCCGAGGCTAACAAGGCAGCTCGCCTTTGCAAGCTTCAACTACAACGGGCGAACCGTATTGAGCGGGAGAGGATCTGGGATGAGAACAGAAAGCAGAAGGCTGCAGAGAAAGCTGAAAGAGACCTTCAAAAGAGCCTCCGCGACGCTCAAAAAGCTATACAATTGCCCTAAAAGGGTAAGCGTAAAGCTTCAAAACCTCATAAGCCAGCTACAAAGCGTCAGAAACGTGTTGGGGGTGGTACAGCTTCTGTAGGAGCCCAGGTAGTTGCACAGCCAGTTCCACCCCAAACCACTAAAACGCGGACAATCCGCCGCCCAAAAAAAGATTTGGATTAGCGCAAAGTCTTCGCAGGCTAGTATATAGTATAAAACTACTTTTGCGCAATTATATCACGATTTGTTGAGGCGTTACAGCTGCAATACTCATGAAGCTGTTGTGTTGTGGGTGGGGCGTTACGCGAACCTGTGCATTAACGTGTTCCACCACCGAATGCACGGCCCCACCGAATGCACGAACACCACAAATTGCCCGCCTTAAACTTCAGCCTATACAGCCACCCACAATAGATAATTTCACAGGAATTTTTAGTGTTAGGTTTTTATTACATTACAGAGTATATTGGGAGTTTTTTTATCACATGAGCAGCTTTTTAGGTGGTCTTATTGGCCGGCCGCGTCGGGTGAGCTGCGGAGCAGTCGATGCAGCTTCACTAACAACAAGAGGAATCCTATCAGCCACAACGGTCGCAGCAGCGTTAGTAGGCTTAAGGCTTTGACTCTTGCCCTTTTGGCATAGTTTGATATCGTTTTGAAGTTGTTTCTGAAGCTGCTTCGCTATCTTATCTTCCTCGCGCTGAAGGGCTTTCTTTGCAGCTAAGCGCTCCCGCTCCTCCTTCGCTGCAACTCGCTTCAAACGACGCTCTTCAAGCAGCTAAGCTTTAGTAAGCTTCTGCTGCTCACGAATCTGAATTGCCTCACTTTTTTGCCGCTGCAACTCCTGTTCTTGAAGGTCCTTTTGCTCCTGGCGATCACGTGCCTCTGCTACCTTATTAGGCGACCAGAATACTGCTCCTCCGTCATAATCAGCTGGTGGCTTAAGCAGCAAAGCTTTGCCACGCTGCCTACGCCTCTTCTCATTAGTTAGAGCCTCTCGAAGGCTGTTGTTCTCGTGTTGTAAGAGCTGATTTTTAGCTGAAATCGCGTGGATCGTTTGGCTAAGCTTCTTAGCGTTTTAATCGTAGATATCGTCCACTGCTTGCCGCAGCAATCGCTCAATTTTTCGCTAGTCGCTTGCGCTTAGTACTGAGCTTGAAGAGCCGCTTGAATTTAGCCTAGAGGTATCTGCTTGCACCGTGGTGAACCGCTTTAAGATGACGCCTGAGTCTAACGGTAAGATGCCTGTCGCTTCGAAAGACTTCTAGATAAGCTTCTCGTTAAAGGAGGAGTGCCACGCGGCATTAAATAAGCGATAGAAGTCTCTTTTAGTGATGCTCGTAAGACCTTGGGCGCGATCAAGAAAGCGAGCGAGCTCAGCTTTGTAGGCGGCTGCGAGCGGCGCAAACATAACAACGTCGAGAGGCTGAAGCGTGTGAGTACTGTGAGGCGGATAGATCATAAGCAAGATCTTATTCGCATGACAATACTCAATAAACTCCATAGAAATGTGTGATCTATGGCCATCAAGGATGAGCAGCCGCCATGACGTACGTGCCTTCTTCTTTGTTTCGCGATCGAAGACCTGCTTAAGCTAGGCAAGCCCTATATCGTGACTAGTCCATCCAGAAGGTGAGCTTGTGAAGAAAGCACGGTGTTGTTCTGGGTTAAAGTCCTGCAACCAGGTATCTTGAATGGCTCCAGATTGAGCCTGATAGATGAGGGCAGGCGTCAGCGACGTGCCATCAGCGCAGATGCAAGCTATAGTGGTGATCCACTCACGATTGCCATCCTGTATGATGTGCCGCAGCTTTCCCTCCTCAAAAGCGCTCTTAGAGAACACCCGCTTCATCTTTGACAGCACGCCAATCAGGAAGCCCTTCTCATCCATATTGTATATATGCCGGTGATCTACATTATATTGCTCGATTTTTCGCTTAAGGAGCTCAAAGTATAGCCTGTACTTGAAGGCGGAGTCAGCTTTGAAGCGGTTGCGACCGAGTCCGGATGCCTAGTGTGAGATGAGATCGATCTGGTGGCGGCCCACGAAGCGATCAGCCCAGTTTTTTCCTACATCTTTCTGAGCTATCTGGCTCGCAAAATTGCGTATCATTGGCTTGGATGGAGGCAGCCCGCGGCTCACAAGTGTGTGTATATATTTTACAAGCTCAGATTCCTGCGTGTTGTTGAGCAATCGGCCATTTGCAAGTGCTGTTGCACGCGCTCGTGTAAGCCCTCGGTGTCGTCGTGATAACGTAGATCGGTCACAATCGTACTTCGCAGCAATATTTGCATATGTAAAATCATCTCCAAGGCTTAGCGATTCAATTGCTGCAAGCGCAGCTTCAATACCTGTCATGGTGGTTGAGATATAATTGATTGAAAAATGTGGAAAAAGCGGTGTTGCGTGCATTCGGTGGGGCCGTGCACTCGGTGGTGGAACACGTTACGCGTACCGGCACTGTAGTGGGAAAATAAGCGAACGTGTGTAAACGAGAACCTTCAATCTTTGCTTATCACGTAGGAACACGTTTTTGATTCTTGTTGCTTTAAGTAGTGGCTGTTCGCCTTGTGTTTACTATTTTGAGGACATTGTATAGACTTTTCAGATTCGATATCTGCTTCCTGGAGTACACGTTCGACTGTTTTGCTAGCCTTCTCCTTCTCCCTCGCTACCTAGGTACCTTAGCTGCCTCTCGTTTAACATGATTCTTATGATGTTGAAGGAGAGAAATATGCTAATCGCTTCTGCTTTCGCCTCGGCTTGAAACGTTTTGAGAACAATGAGATTCTGTGAGATTCGAACCCAGAATGTGGCCACGTAGGAGGGGATTAGTTAAAAGGACGTTTTTTTAGCTGTAGATACTACTGTACTCGCGAGGCAACCATGGCGCGCCATACCAGTTACAGGAAATCCCTGAGACAGCGTTCGGGCTCGAAATTGAGCATAAAACCTCTAAAACAGCAATATAAATTACACTAGACAGATTTTAGGCTCTGAATTTGGTGTATCAAAAGATCCTAAGACTAGTATAGCGCGCTACGGAAGATACTAGAAGAGGCAACACATTATACATTAATCATTACAATACATTGTAGCCACTCCGCCTCCTCGCATCAGGTCATCTATGGCAGTTACACTACCAGAGGGACCTTGTCATAATTCATTTGACTTTACCCCATCCCAATCTTGCAACTATCGCTCATACAAGACCATCTTCAGCGCTGTGTCGATAGACGCGCTTATAACCACGCTGCTCGTGCGTACTAGTCGTATGAGATAAGATGCCTACCGGCAAAAACACCGTTATTGACCTCATACACACCTAGAACCAGGGCCAAGAGCGTCTCATCGTATGGCTTGCGTCTCAACTCGCGCAACAAATCTTGCGCAAACTCACAATCCGGCCAGCCTTCTTGTATACGCACAAGACCTGCGTGTTCGAAAATCGGGGGGAAGAAGCCGGACCAAGCCCAGTCCAAGAACCATAGCTGGCCAGCCTTGTCAAAGGCGAGGTTTCTCAACTTGATATCCATATGGCACATGCCTAGATCTTCGAACCTGCCAGTAACATCCCCTCCACCCCTAAACTTAAGCTTCGCGTTGAAACAGGTTTCCATGTCGGCCGCGGTTTCTAATGTCCTGCCAGCGCCCCAAACAGAGAATAACGCGCCCTCGGGAACTCCTCGTCCGACTGGTTCAGGTTCGCTACTCCGCATAGTCCTCATATGATCAAATGCTTTCATCATCTGATCGACGATATATTGCCGTTCCTGAATAGTGCGGCTCGACCATGGTATTGCGTCCAAAGAGCCTCCGTCGATAAAGTCCGTAACTATGTAGCCTTGTTCTCCAGACATGAAGTATCGATAAACCCGCGGAATTCGTATTTCCCCGTTCGAGAACTTACGGACATATTCCATGTTTAGGGCCTCTTGCGGAAGAACATCGATCGCAATATTTATGCCTGCAGTGGTTGTGATTCTCACAAGTTTCGTACCTTTGTCGAAAATTATGACACCGTCCTAAGCGGCATCAACAAATTCGGAGTTGGAGATAGTGGTCAGGTCTCTTCCTTCAAGGAGATAGTCGGGAGTGGAAGACATGACGATGATGCAGATGGGAAATAACTCTGTGTTGCAGTTGAGTAGATCAGAAATGGCTGGTAGTGCGAGACGGAAACCGTTATTATGTTGAACAGTAGTTAGCGGGCTCGCCAAGCTTGGTTTCATTACGGTACTGCCCAGGTTGTAACGTCCCGACGCCTGCCGAACACCAAAACATCCGACGCCGCGGTGGCAGGGGCTCCTGGGATTTGTGGCTACTTGATTTGTATGTTGCTTTCGCTATTGTGATGGAAGTAGCGTTGGTTGAAGGAGCCAGGAGCCATAGTGCATAAGAGTGAAAAAGCTCGGTATAACTTCACTTGAAGATGCAGTTACGGCAATTTAATTATTCGAGCTTTACATAATATAGGCTTCTCGAAGGAACCAAGACTTTCAAGTACTACGGGTTCGTTGGTTTTGGTTGTACAATTTCCTGCTGAACATAACGTGTCTGTGCGCGTGATGCCCATAATCGCGTGCCGCACACCCCGCAACATCAACACCAATCCACCCTTACCACTTCAACCACCCATAACTCCACAACCATGAGTTGTATCAATGCTGCGATTGAAGCTATTGAATCGCGTGATCCCGGAGATAAATTTACATACTCTGAGGTTGCGCGCCGCTTTGGTGTTGATCGCTCTACGTTGTCGCGACGCCATCAACAGATCCGGGGCTCAAATGAAGCCAAATCACGTAATCAGCAACTCCTTCACCCACACCAGGAGCTACAGCTTCTAGAGCACATTGACGAGCTTACTGAGGCTGGCTTACCACCGACGAGGACTATGATCCAGAACTTTGCTAGTGCTATAGCCGGAAGGGCTACCTCCCAAAGCTGGGTGACGCGCTTCTTTCACCGTCATCCCGACGCGATTATATCACGTTGGTCAACTGGTTTGGACCGCAATCGCCACCGGGCTGATTCTGTATACAAGTACGAGTCGTACTTTGATCTACTATCTACTAAAATGGCTCAGCACCATATTCGGGCGCAGGATGTATATAATATGGATGAGAAGGGATTCCTTATTGGAGTGACGGGGAGGAGTAAGAGAGTGTTTAGTAAGCAGAAATATGAGACTGGGGGCTTTAAGAAAGTGATACAGGACGGCAACAGAGATTGGATCACTGTTATCGCTGCTATATGTGCTGATGGGAGTACGTTACCGCCCGCGATTATATACGAAGCTACTTCGGGCAACATGTACGCCAGATGGGTTGATGATATCGCAATTGACGATCCAGTCTACGTTACCTCAAGTCCCTCAGGGTGGACCAATGATCAGGTAGGCCTGGCATGGCTCGAACAGGTGTTTGATCGCCATACGAAGGAGAAGGCCGGCAATCACACACGCTTACTCATCCTTGACGGCCATGGGAGTCACGTTACTATGGAGTTTATTGACTATGCGATCGCCCACAATATTATGTTACTCATACTACCCCCCCATAGTACCCATACGCTGCAGCCACTCGATGTGGTAATGTTCAAACCTCTGGCAGCCGCGTACTCACTCAGCTTGCAGCACTACCTCCAGGCGAGCCACGGTCTCTTAGCTGTGAGGAAGGATGACTTCTACCGTCTTTTCAAGCCTGCCTGGGACTCCTCTTTCATTAAGAAGCACGCGTTGAAGGCATTTAAAGCCACTGGGATAGCTCCTATAGATCCCGAAGTAGTACTTAAAAAGTTCCGAAAGTCAACACTAACAGCACCGCCGCCACTAGTGAACGTGAGTAGAGCTACTATCACGAACCTCATTAATCAGGCCTACGATCCGAGCTCTATTGCGGCCAACAACCTCTCAGAAATACTCCTCCGCCTCCAGGCTGCCAAAGAGATCGCCGAGTACGAGAAGGACGCACTGCGCGCGGCGCTACACGTTCACCAGAAGCCCCGCAATCGGCACGAACCTCCCCTAGATCTACAGTAGCGAAAAGCGTTCCATTCAGGGGCAGTTTGGTGGTCGCCGTGCAAGCTTCGAGAGGCCCGCTTCAGGCAGCTAGTGAAGGAGAAGGAGAAGGAGAAAGAGCTACTTGATAAGATAGAGTTGAAAGAGGCAAAGGAGAACAACAGGATCTATCAACTTAAGATCAAAGAGGCAGCGCGGGCGGCGCGTGAGGAGGCAAAGAAGGTGCGGGATGAAGCCAAGGCTGTAAAGGCTGCCGAACTTGACGCCAAACGACGCGATCGCGACGCTGCAAAGGCTATACAACAACCCCAATCGGGCAAGCGTAAGGCTTCAAAGCCCGCTGCAAAGCAACAGCCAAAAAAACGACGCGTGGGTGGTGCTGGCGGTGGCACTCTGGCTGAGGTGGCTGCACCGGCTCCCCCACCAACAACCACCCGACGCGGCCGGGCCGTCAATACTCCGGCAAAATATAGATAGACAAAGTTGTAGAGCTACGTCTATAGATCAATACACCGGAAAATCTCGCGATAATAGTTATTGTACGTGGCTGCACAGCCTCAACTTTGCCGTCGTCGCGATATTGGTGGGGTGTGCGGCACGCGATTATGGGCATCACGCGCACAGACACGTTAGAAGGAAACCGTGGTCTCAAGAGTCAAGAAGTAGTAGTAATCGTCGTTTTGCAACATGTTGGCGAATACAGGTCTTTTGCGTAGGGGTATAGGTGTCGGCATACACACGGTGTGTCGCCTAATAAGGCCCAATGTACCGCCTCGATCCTACTTCGGCCCAACTCGGACCCAACGTTATGTATACCTTCGTAGCCCCCACATTCGTAGAATCATCATACACCAGAATACCAATACACAAGATTACCTTAGCTACTGTTATTCACCGTACGATCGTACAAGGCCTTCCAACAATAGGAGATAATAAGGGAAGGATACAGAGACGGCCCGGGATCGGGCTCGGGGGTAGACTCGAAGACGGACGGCAGGAGCGATTAATCGACACCTCTTTAATCTGCACTCGTAAGTACATTATGAAAGTTTTAAAGCGACTGAACACTTCTTTCCCCGTAACATCCTCACGAAAGTCATGATCCAAAAGTTCCTTCGGTCCAAACTGGCGTCTTTGATGCCTTTACTCCTCCGCTCATCCAAGTTGAGCTAACCACATCATATAATTCCAATTCAACACCCTCAATCCAGCCGGAATACTGCAGGTCTCTCATGACAGTGTAGACCCAGTATCTGCACTCTAGCATCTTCTGCTCATATCGGTAATTGTGACGCCCATTGATGAGAATTCAATTGAGGTCGTGTCGAGCACAGAGGTTCGAAGTGGGAAAGGCAACCTACAAAATCGATTGACGGTTCATATTCGATTGCACTGACGAACAAGGTTCCTCGTTCACCTGGAGTGACATTTGGTACCATATCGAGGCGTATGGATCCTCCGCTTGCAAGTTGGAGGTAGATGACCCAGTGGTTGACTTGAATGTCGCTGCCCACGTCGATTGGGTCTGGAGGATGCCCACCAACAATAATGGAAGTTATTGTCTCTGAACTGGAGTCCGAGAGAAGAGTGGAAGGAACGTAGAGTAGAGTAGGCATGTTTGACGGAATCTTCCGATAGGGAGAAGATAGGATGCTATGCTGCGATTTTGAGATGTGCGTTGTTGTGACCATGGAAAACTCTATAGGATGAGTGTGTATACCTTGGTGTGCACTCAGTTTCTGTGAGTTAGAGGATAGAAAGGGCGTTATAGATGAAGAAAAGAATGAGTGCACAGCGCGAAATATATTCTCTCTGCTCTCTAGGCAACAGTACCAGCGCCTCTGGTACCATGGTACGGTCGACCCAATGCACCCTAAACTACTGCATCCAAAAGACTTGGAAAGATTATATCGATGCAGCAAGTTTGCGACCGAGGAGAACTCCTGCCCTGCAACAGTACCATTCAAGATTGTGCAGTAGTTTTGTTGAGTCCAGAATCAAGGTTGAAATCTAATAGCCGAGAAGGTTCATTCGATACGTAATCAAAAAGAGAGAGTTGTAGAGAGGGAGCAACACAGCCCGCAACCTTCCAGACCGTTGGAGCGAAATCTTGTGGCTCGGGCTTGGCGGGCCGAAGCACGTGGCCGGGTGCCGTCTCCGGCTCTCAACGGGCCAATAGTCAGCGGGGCTATTCCGCGCGACTCCCACTTCCAAAAATTGCCGACTGGAAGATAGCCGCTCAGCAGCGATTTCCTAAAGCGGGCATTAAAGGGAGAAATTCTGTAGATGTGCGTAGCTGATAATGTTTTATAGGAAGTTTATAAAAAGTCGGTATCGTCGAAATCTAATTGGCGGTGAGGGTGTTCCTCGGTATAGTTCTAATTAGTCACATGTACCTATATCGCAGGGAAGACACGGTTCCAATGACCTGGTACGCTTTCACAAGAACGTACGATATCCCACTTTGTCACCCACGAGAACGACAGTGCACACGTCCACGGATATGCATAATACTACCACAACGCCACAGGTCGAGACAAACTCATCCAAAAAACTCGTGTATCTCTGAAATGGTAGTTTGGAACCGAACTGGTCATGTGCTGCTCGAGTAAGGTGCACGTCTAGCTGATATGGAATCGGGAAAAACCATATAAGCGGCGCCAAGCCGGCTGTATCCCACGAACTGTCAGTTATCTGGTCGTGAGAATATTACCATAATATCTTCAATCATTGTCATGATAGGACTGGCGGCGTTGTGTTCAGCCCGATATGATAACGCGGGCGCATCACGGATATCTGTCAGTCCGACAACCATCCACATTCCTATAGGCGTCAACCCGCGAGGACTATCTCCATTTGACAGGTCTAAGCTGCGAAAAGTAGACTAGATGACCCCGCGATTAGTGATTGTAGAATCGCAGATACCACTCGCAGCACCCGACACCCACACAGATTGGTCTAACCTGCTTTGGGGAGGTCCATGCGACTCCCGTGTGAGGGTCCCAGGTACCAGCAACGGCGTAATCCTCCTCCCAGCGCCTATCGTGACGTCCGACACACAGTTAGGCCTACACCGGTACTTGGACTCGCATGTTCGGCATTATGTGTCAACCGAGCAGTATAAAGAGTAGTGGGATCCCCGAAACTGGGGAAACTTCACCATCACTCTTCCAACTACCCAACCAACATACACGACACTTTTCATCATGGCGCCTCATCCTTTCATGACGCTTAGTGCGCAGGAGACTATCGTAGCCCGCGATGTCATTCTTTCCCTTCACAAAGACACCATTGTCAACTTCCGTGAGATCTTCCTTCAGGAGCCGGCGAAAGAGCTCATGAAGCAATACCTCGAGTTGGAGCATGCGGCACGACCAGGACAATCACAAGCCTCCAAGCGACCACCACGATTAGCAAAGTGCCTGTACGATGTCATTGGGTCCAGCAAGACGCCTGTATACAACGAGTCTGTCATTGACATTGAGAAGAAGACAAGAGTCAAGCATGCCACATATGGAACCGAGCACCAAGCTACATTGGCATTGTGGGAGTTTGAGGAGCTAGTGGAAGCTTGTGCGAAGAGTGACATGTTCAAGAAGGCGCAGGCAGAATTCCAGCTTCCTGAAGGATTTGAATGGGTCATTGAGCCTTGGTAAGTTTCTACATTGCATCCTTTTTTATCATGCTGACTCAGTAGGCCATATGGTGGAACTGAACAGGGCACTGAATGCATACGATACTTCCAAGGATTATGCTTTGCCCGAGACACAAGGAGCGGCAATCCCGATGCCAATTTCTACGCATACCCAATCCCGCTTATTCCCGTCATGGACACGCGAACCAAGGAGATTATTCGTGTCGATCGTTGTGCCACGGGTGGAAAGGGTGACAGCCTCACTGGACTGACTTGCTCGCCGCGTATTCTAGAGCACTGCGAGAATGCAGACTACGTACCTGAATTACTCCCGGGCGGACTACGCAAAGATGTCAAACCTATCAACATCACGCAACCAGATGGCCCATCTTTCTCAGTCACCGATGAGTCCCTGGTTGAGTGGCAGAAGTGGAGCTTCAGGGTATCATTCAACCCCCGTGAAGGAGCGGTTCTCCATGATGTCCGTTATGACGGAAGAAGCATCATGTACCGCATGGCCATTAGCGAGATGGCGGTTCCATATGCCGATGCTCGCCCACAATACGTGCGCAAACAAGCTTTCGACTTTGGTGACGGAGGTGCTGGAAACTGTGCCAACAACCTCTCCCTGGGTTGCGACTGTCTGGGTGTGATCAAGTACTTTGACGCAGTCACCATTGGCCGAGACGGTCTACCAAAGCCACACCCCAACGTCGTCTGCCTACATGAGCAAGATAACGGCATTGGCTGGAAGCACACCAACTGGAGGACCGGCCGCGCCGTTGTTTCAAGAATGCGAGAGCTCGTAGTTCAGTACATCATCACACTAGCCAACTACGAGTACATTTTCGCCTACAAGCTGGATACTGCCGGTGGCATCACACTGGAAGTCCGAGCGACGGGTATTGTCTCGGTAGTCAACATTGACCCTGGCAAGACGTCAGATTACGGAAACGTGGTATCAAACGGCATTCTAGCCCAAAACCATCAGCACATCTTCGCCGCCCGCTTCGACCCTGCAATCGACGGCCACAACAACACAGTCCTCTACGAGGAGTCTCATCCCGCGCCCTGGGACAAGGAGACCAACCCCAACGGCAACTACTACGAGATCCGCAAGACAGTCGTCAACAAGTCAGTTGGTCTCGATGCAAACCCAGTTGATCACCGTATCTTCAAGATCATCAACCCTTCGAAGAGAAATTCAAAGTCCGGAAACCCTGTTGGCTACAAGTTCTCACCGCTGGCCACACAAAAGATCCTCGCCGCACCGGGTAGTCTCCAGGAGCAACGCGCACTCTTCGCCAACCATCATGTGTGGGTGACAAAGTACCACGACGACGAGCTGTATGCTGCGGGCCACGCTACCATGCAGAGTCGCCGCGAGACTGGCGGTGTACACGACATGGCCGAGCGCCACGAAGACATCGTCAACGACGATGTTGTCGTGTGGAATGTATTTGGTCTAACACACAACCCCAGGTAAGAATTCCCCCCCTCTGACCAGGCATAATACCACATGTACTAACAAAAAGCAGAGTCGAGGACTGGCCTGTTATGCCATGCGAGATTTACCAAATACATTACAAGCCTTCGGATTTCTTCGAGCGCAACCCGGCGATTGATGTGCCCAGTGCGAAGAACAATGCTTCGGTGTTGGTGGGCAAGGACTCTGGATGCTGCTCGGGGTCGAATAAGCTGTGAGGTGTTGTGTTTTGGATAGATTACGTGTAGAATAAGGTTGGGATTTGAACATGCATATACTAGCTAGAATGCCCCCTCATGGTAATGAATTTTGTTGATATCAAGTACAGAATGAGATGATTTGAACGAAATCGTGATTTCTGGATTGTACATGCACTCGAGTGTCACAAAATACTTGACATACTAGTGTACAGACCACTGTAATCGCTAGGCACGCCTATTAGGTGCTTTACCTACACTATTAAGTATTTCATATCACTCAGGTGGCACAGTGGCGTTTGAGTGGTTCATATGGTCGTCTTGACGTATTGCATATCTTTGTTTGCGACAGTCGCTCGTATAATTGGCCGAGCTGTGATGAAGTTCGTAAAGTCGACTGCGGAGAAGCAGTTGATAAGCACTACGTGGGTCACTGGACTTGGTGTCCGGAAGGGGCAATGTACCTCGGCCCAGGGACCAAGACAAGCGGGTGCGACCTCATTACCCTCGCATGCGCAGGAATTAAGCAACCGGTGTTCAACCATTGAACAAGTGAATCCCAAATTTCCCGCTACCGCATTACGATAAATTCGGTTGTTATAAGAAGATCATCTTTTGCTGTTCCGCACATCGCCCTAGTCAAGTGGCCGAGAGGTGCCACGCCATTCCGCTATCGCCCAGCCCAGTTCCGACCCCAAGATTCCTACACGCGACGCCTGCTCGACGCGGAAGCACACGGGCGGCATCGCCCTCTCAACCAGTCAAAATGATACAAGGCACGCGTCGCTGGTTCAGGCGCAATCGGACAAACTTTGCCATCGGCGCTGGAGTGCTTGGGGCCGGTTATCTGGCGGGGCAATATGTGCTGGGCAAGATTGGGGAGGCCAGACAGCGCATGAGCGACGACCGCATCGCAAAGGAGAAGTGCGCATCAATTATTTTGGTTCTGAGAGGGCTTTGCTAATCGTTTCGCTAGTTTGCGAAGGAGATTCGAACAGAATCAGGAGGATTGTACTTTCACTGTTCTGGCTATCCTGCCGACCGCCACTGAGAATATACTCGATGCTATTCCGGTTGAACGCGTGCTGGAGGAGCTGCAGAAGCAAAAAGCGGAACGGTTGTCGAGGAGTGTTGGCCCCAGCGAGATTGCTAGTTCAGCGCCGCCGAGTGTGGCAGATACGACTGAGGATGATGCAAGGAGCTCGACTCTTCAGACTGACAGCTTCGTACATGCCAGCCAGGTTGTCACTGAGGGCGATAGCGTTACTGGGCCTGTAGAGGGTGCCCCAGAAGCGAGCGAAGAGAAGAAGAGCAAAAAGAGCAAGGCACAGTTGTGGAATGAGATGAAGATTAGCTGTAAGCATCTCTGCCGGGGTATTGACACAGGAAGCTAACATGGCCAGCGATAACACGAGCTTTTACTCTCATCTACACCCTCGCCCTGCTCACCCTCCTCACCCGCATCCAGTTGAACCTACTTGGTCGCCGCAACTACCTCGCATCAGTTGTCTCACTGGCCTCACCACAATCTGCCAGTGAGAGCTCCAGGATCAACCTCGAAAACAACGACGACGACAACTTTGAACAAGCATATGGAAACGACTTTGAGACGAACCGCAGATATCTGAGCTTGAGCTGGTGGCTGCTGCACAAGGGCTGCATAGACCTGATTGAGAAAGTCAGGCTTGCAGTAAAGGACGTCTTTGGCCAGCTCAACCCGAGAGAGGAGATTACCCTCGAAAAGCTATCAGAGCTTACCCTAGAAGTGCGCAAGAAAGTGGAAGGCGCCACTGAAGAAGAGCGAAGGTACATCCATCTCCCACTCCTATCCACTTCCCCACTAACACACCACAGAACCTGCAAATGGCTCTCCTTCCTCCTCCCACCCCAAGACCAAGAAGACTACGTCCTCCGCGAATCCGGCATGACCTCATCCTCTGAATCCACATCCCCAACCACAACTACCTCTCTGCGCCGTCTCATCGACGAAACCTCCGACCTAATCGATTCCCCCTCCTTCACCCACGTCCTCACCCAACTCCTCGATGCCGGTTTCTCCCACCTCGTCGACGTCAAAATCTCCCAACTCTCATACAAGATCCCGCCCATTTCCGACAATACAGCTCGCATACAAGAGATTGTCGGCAGCGACGTCAAAGCAAAGGTCGCAAATAGTCTCGCCGTCTTCTGCCGTCAAGCACACAGCATAGGCACTGGGGCAAACAACGAATACCTATCCGCTATGGAGGCTGTTGGGGGTCTAGAGGCATTCGCCGCAGTCGTTTACTCGAGCAACTTTGAGTATGAGAGCCCTGAGGCTGCTACTACGCTCAGTCAACCTGCAACTACAGAAGGGACGCCGAAGCAGATCTTGCCCGACAGCTCTGCCGCGTCGGGAATTTTCATAAACGAGGGTCCCGACAAGGCAGTGGATGAGTTTGAGAGTGCGTGGGGCAAGGCACTGGCAAAGGAGGATGGGAAGCAGTTTTGAGTAGTCTTTATACTTTGTACTTGTACTCCTTGCCCTGGCTAATATGATTGGAGAAGGTTTTTAGTACTGAGATACCCGTTAATTTGAAATGTTTGTAATACATACGTACGGCCGTCTCTTATCGTCGTCGGTACCTTATATTTCGGTTCCAAGCCCCCCTTTTTGCTTTTGCTTTTTCTGTCCCCGGACCTCGGGACGCAAGTCGTGCAGTCGTGACGTCAGCGCGTAACATGGCTTGGTATGTTACCCGTATAGTGGGATAGGTGGGTTAAGGCAAGAAAAATGGCGACCGCACAGGAAAATATATACTACAGTTTTGTTTACCCATCTACCCCTCTCTTTTTTCCATCCTTTTAAACGATTGGAAAACATCCATATCCCCCACACCCTTTTTATAATTCATAAAACACATCAAGCTCGTTCGTCAAGATGCCAGACCAACAATGCCCCCCCTCCAAAAACGCCTACGTAACCCTCCTCACCCGCCCCAGCTACCTCGCCGGCGCACTCCTCCTCGCATACACCCTAACTACGCACTCACCCACAACCCCGCTCATAATAACCTACACGCCGTCCACGCTCCCCGCCCCCAGCATCGCCGCACTCCAGCGCGAAGCCGCCCACTCAAACATAATCCCGCACCCTGTTGAACACCTGCGTCTGCCGGAGTCGCAGACGGCGCACGGCATGGTAGCTGAGCGCTTCATTGACACATGGACGAAGCTGCGCGTGTTTGACCTATGGGAGTTGGAGGTGGAAAACGGGGGCAGGTTTGAACGGTTATGCTGGTTAGACGCCGATATGATGATTTTCTCCGACCCGAGTTCGCTTGTTTTTGGGGAAGGGCAGGATGCGTTTTTGAAGGGTGGGGACGGGAATAGGGTCATGGCTGTGCATACTTGTGTGTGTAATCTTGATAGGGATTCTTGGGCCCCGGAGGAGTGGAATCAGAAAAATTGCGGTATGAGTCGTCTTACGTCGTCGGATCAAGTGGCAGAGGTGGGGGAAGAGGGGGAGTGCTACACGCTTCGCAATTTCAACAGCGGGACGTTTTGTTGGCGGCCGAGCAAGCAAATAGCACAGTTTGTAAAAGACAAGTTCGAACAGCTAGGCCCAGATGCGTTGAGAGCAATGAAATTCCCCGACCAGGATTTCCTCAACGAGGCGTTTGAGGGACGCTGGGCAGCGCTGAGTTGGAAGACGAATGCGTTGAAGACGTGGCAATATTGGCATACAAACTTCTGGGTCGACAATGAGGTCGCCGTCTTGCATTATATCGTCGATAAACCATGGGCGGCGCGCGTGGATGAACAGGGCAAAGCGGGATATCTAGGTAAAGACGGGGAGACGCATAAGTGGTGGTGGGCGCAGTTTGCCAGATGGCGGGAGGAGCGTAAGGGACAGGGCGAGCATGAGTTATTGGAGACGATGGGCTTGTATGTGGCGGGTGAGGGGAGTGAGGTTAGTGAGGAGATGCGGGCGATTGGTGGTGGGGCGCAGGATTTTGCAAAGAAGTGGGAGGATAAGGGGGAGAAGGAGGGGGAGTAGATGGGAGGTGGGGAGGATGCTTGTGCTGGAGGAGATGGGATATGGGCCTTTTTTTGGGGTTTGTAGGGAGGGCGTATAGAGAGGTGTTGAGATCGGGGTATAGAGAGTTGTTGAGATCGGGGTATAGAGAGTGATATGGGGAGGTAATAGCTAGATGTTTGGATCTGAGAATGTGTAGTACAATATCCAAGTCAAAAAGGGGGTGGTTAGCGAAACACGGAGATTCTGCAACTCTCGAATATGAAGCGATCAAGCAGCGCGCCTATACTTTTACATACAGCAAGAGGTTGCCATGTATACTTGTGAACAAACCGTGTATGGAAGCTGCATACTCAGGGGAAAGGTCTAGACAAGATGGCACGTTTGTTTGTGTCCAAAAGTAGCCCAACCACGAGGGCCGTGTATGCAGGTCGGATATCCGAGTTTAATTATGTCCACAATTGGCACAAGTGTGGGCGTCGTATATGCATGTCAGATTTACGAGTTTAAGCACTTCCACAAGAAGACTACGTACGAGGTGCAACCGAACTACGGCAATGGTATTCATAACAAGTATACGACATCACGATATTGTAATACAATAAAATGGGTGTTATAATGACAGCATAATAATTCGATAGAGTGTCCCGGCAACCGTCTATGTACAAAAGCATGTGTTTCCCCTGGGACAAAACCGTAGCCCTTCAACGATTGATCCAAGGCTCAACACTACCACACGCCGGTATACCTACGACCTAGTCAAGAAATCACCCGTCACAAACAAACGTGAGTCTACTCTACGAGCCAGCAGAGCAAATAGCTCACATTCAACAGACCATGCATTCAATTACCATCCTCGCTATCAGCGCCGCGGTCGCACTCGCCGCCCCAGCCGACCTAACCTCCCAATCCAAAGCCGTAGAGCTCCAATTCGGTAGACAATACACATACAAAGAGATAGCCGATCTCTCGGCCAAAAAGCCCGCCCAAACCTGGCTTCAGCCACCACCTCCAGCAAAGGAGCTCCCCACCAGCGACACACTCACCAACGTGGCTGTTACCGGAGAATTCAACTGTATCGCAGGTGGCTTCATCGTTGGATCCATGGCAGCGCAAATACAGCTTTCCCCTTCTGCGCCAAATGCACAAGTCACCTGGCAGAATGTGGATAGTGTGGATGGTTTCTCGGCTGGTAGCACGACGTCGGTTGGTAAAACTTCTGGTCAACAGTCTACCACGAATGTCGCTCACCACGATTTCTGCCGAGCCTTTCGTCACAGGATCTGTACATACCGTTTCGAAAGCACGTTTAGTGTTAATGTCGATGGTGGGAATAAGAAGATTTCTGGTAGCGCGGCGGCGGAACCGGTTATGAAGGAGAACTGTATTACTCTGCAGCCGGGAGGTAAGGCTGAATGCCCGAAACCTGGGACAACAGGTTGTATGGTTCAGGACTGGGAGTAATTGAGGTTGGAAGATGGGTATGTTTGAGAGTTCATAGTATGTCGGGGCACAGGGTGATTGGGTGTGGTTCAACAGTTTGAGGATTTTTGGATTTCAACACCAATAGTCGCGTGGAGAAGAGAATGAATATACTATACTCCAAACTTTTCAAAGGCGTCATTTTCAGAGTGATGAGGTTCAGGTAGGTGCCGACATCGTTCAAAGTGCTGATGTGGTACCGAGGTCTTTCTTTTAGTCTAGCGTGGGTGTACTACATTGTGACGTAATCTGACGAGAACGCTGATCTCTAGGCACGCTAAACATTCACTACGATTACCCTTTGTGTACACCTATCCATTACAGCTAGAGGCTACCTAAATCGTCACCAAGAAGACCATGATACCGAAAAGATGGGCAACGCGACTTCCACCCCAGGCTGTTAGCATCTACACCTACTTAGGAGTAGCGCGTTTTATCACTGATTATGTAACAAGAGGATATATATTCGCTCTCTACGATAGACTCTATCAATCAACCAACTTTTTCCTCATTCTCTTCACTCACTTGTTTAGATAAGGTAACTCAAGCTTGTAGATCATCTTCAGCTGGCCTTTACCTCGCATCGACTCAACAACATGCACCCTTGGAAAAACATACAGCAGGTTCTCAAGGACAGGGCAGATTCCGAGAAGCCGAGAAGCCTGTTTTGCTATTCATTCGGCAATATCCACATCCCCAATGAAATCACGTACACACACCTATTCAGGGAAACCAAGACCAGAGTTGGTATCAAGCAAGCAAGCACTTATCGATAGTGGCAAAAGACCACAAAAGCATCCGTGCCCAAGGACACGTGCCAGAAAGTGGTCCGAAATCCTTTATCGGTAAGTGCTTGCTTGCTTGATACCAACTCTGACCAAGACTAATAGCTGGACCATTCAACGACTCAAGCAATTCCGGATTGGTCATCCGGTGTTGTTACACTTTGAAGATCATTGGGACTTTATCCTGTGGTTTTGGTCAGTTGTGTTCGCTGGCGGCCTGTCAGTTCTCTCGTCTCCCCTCAGCAATATCGAGGAGGATCGCCATAAGCACATTCAGAACCTGTCTACTCTCCTGGAATCTCCGATATGTTTTACCAGATCAAAGTTTCTGCCTTTTTTCGGCAACAGCCGCGACATACATCTACATTCCATTGAGAATGTAATCGGCAAATCCGAACAAGAATCTTCTCATGCCGACAATTCGCGTACCTATGGCGACAACCATGATGCTGAAAGCCATTTAAAAGGCCATAATGATGATCCTACAAGCAATTTTGACGGGGTTTTTACGGGAAATGGCACATATCATAGTCAAGCGGACGGCGTGAAAGGTGGAGATTTGCTGATGCTCATGTTGACCTCTGGAAGTACAGGCAACGCAAAAGCTGTCTGCTTCACACACGAACAAGTTCTGGATGCAGTTTCCGGAAAAGCTGCAATGCGCGTACTTCCCCGGGACCGGCCATTCTTGAACTGGATCGGTCTAGACCACGTCGCCGGCCTCCTTGAGATCCACCTTCAGGCATTATGGCTCGGCGTCGATCAAATTCATGTCAGCGCTGCCGATATCGTGACATCTCCTACGATATTCTTGGAACTAATCAGTCGACACCGGGTTGCTCTGACGTTTGCTCCAAATCTCTTCCTGGCCAAGCTGGTCGCTACTTTTGAGTCACTTCAACAGAGCCCCAAGCTGGACCTGTCAAGTCTGGTCTGCGTAACATCTGGAGGCGAGGCAAATGACATTAATACTTGTATTGCAGCATCCACATTATTCTCAAAATATGGAGCTCCTCACGATGTCATCACCGCTGGTTTTGGAATGACGGAGACGTGTGCCGGGTCACTCTACAACACCAGATGCCCCGAGTACGATGTCTCTCGTGGCTACACAGTAGCATCTCTTGGCAAATGTATAACTGGTATCGAAATGCGTATCGTCACATCTGAAGGACAGGTAGCTGCATCTGACGAATCGGGTGACTTGGAAGTCCGTGGCAAGGTCGTCTTCAAGGGCTACTACCGTAACGAGACTGCGACGAAGCAGGCGTTTGCGCCTGGCCATTGGTTTCGAACTGGCGACCGAGGGTTCATCGATTCAAATGGTAACCTCAACATGGTGGGCCGCGCTAAAGAGGTCATCAATATCAACGGTGTTAAGATTGTCGCCGCCGACGTCCAAACAGCCGTGGAGAATGCCTTGGGCAACCGCGTTGCTCGACTCGTTGTCTTCTCTACCCACGCATCACATACAGAGCAGGTGACAGTCGCTTATATCCCCAAGGCATTCCCCATTGGGGATCAGGAAATGATGGACATTGCTCGTCTAGTTACCCAGGCATGTGTGATACGCACTGCGAGTAGGCCATTGGTGTTTGCTCTACGAGAACAATCCATACCACTTCTCCCAGTGTCTACTTTGGGGAAGATATCCAGGCTCAAAGTGTCGCGCTTGTTTGAGGATGGTGAATTCGCTGCGGACCTCGAATTCCACCACCAAACAGTACTGCGCGCATCCGGGGCAGCTAAGCAAATGTACATGAGTGGATCAAAGCCAGAAAACGAGTCCGAAGGGGCTCTCATCGAGAATGTCGCCGAAACTCTTGGCGCAGCTTCAGACGTTCTCGATATCACTTCTGAAACGTCTCTGTTCGACATCGGATTTACATCAATGCACGTTATCAAACTCAAGTATCACATTGAGCCGCGCCTAGGAACAGATGTGCCTGTTGTTCTCATCATGAAGAATCCTACTATCAGGGCCCTGGCGGCTGACATCGATGCCTACATGAAGCAGTCACAGGGAGATTCTGATGAGCCAGCAACCATCGAGGATTATGACCCAGTCGTCATCATCCGCGGCGAGGGGTCGAAAACACCACTCTGGATGATTCATCCCGGTGTGGGAGAGGTCTTGGTCTTCATCGGTTTGGCTCAATGCCTTGCGCAAGACGATCGGCCAGTGTTCGCTTTGCGCGCAGCTGGCTTCGAGTCTCCTTACCAACGCTTCGAAAGTATCAATCAGACTGTTGATATCTATACTGCGGCTATCCGTCGATGCCAGCCGCGCGGCCCCTATGCTCTGGCGGGCTATAGCTACGGCACGATGCTCGCATTTGAAATCTCAAAGCGGCTGAATGCCGACGGCAACAAAGTAGGATTCCTCGGTTCACTCAATCTACCGCCACATATCAAACAGCGTATACGTACGCTAGAATGGAATGTGTGTCTGTTGCATCTGAGTCACTTCCTAAGCCTCATCACCGAAGATGTTGCAGTGAATGCAGTCAATCAAAGTGTCACCGCGCGAGGCAGTAATCAGAGTATATTGTGTTCTGTTGTTGTTGTGCTGTCATGGCCACCTTATATGTAGCCATAATCAGGGTCTATTTACATGACGTATCTCTGATGCTGGTAAGAGGAGAAGGTGCTCATGGAGGGGAGGGAGGAGCGCCAGGACAACACACGTGACATGCGCAATACCCTTGCCTCACAAACCGCAACAGTATACCTAAGCTTAACGCAAGTCGGGCCGAAGTCGGGCCGAAGTGTTGAGCATCAGACGTCCCTACCGATACTCACGATCCGACAGCGCCCCGGATAAAATAGACATCAATGCTAAGGCGCTAACTTAGATCACATAAGAATATCCTTGCCTATCGTGTAAACAGGCGAATAGTAAGCGTTCTATTGTATTTGTGATAAAAGGCCGTATTTTATATCTGTTGCGGTTTGTGAGGCAAGGGTATTGCGCATGTCACGTGCGTTGTCCTGGCGCTCCTTCCTCCCCTCCATGAGCACCTTCTCCCCTCACCAGCATCAGAGATACGTCATGTAAATAGACCCTGATTATGGCTACATATAAGGTGGCCATGACAGCACAACAACAACAGAACACAATATACTCTGATGACTGCCTCGCGCGGTTACACTTTAATTGACTGCATTGTACTGCAACATATACCTTCGTAGCACCTATGTTCGTAGAATCAATCAGAACCATCACCGGACAGAATGCATTCCTAGTTATTGTTATTTCCCTTTACACACTTAGTGCAAAGCCAACCAACAGGCACCGTTGACGACATTCGACTGACTATAATCAATTCCTCGGCTTCTACTGTCCCAAATACTTGAAATAGATACGGTTATATCACCAATAATCATCTTGACACCATTTTTAAACACCCGTGATGAGCACTCCGGTTTCTCAGAGCCGCATGGATTTAGGCCTTTCACAGCGAGCTGCGCATAACTCCGTCCAAGCCTCACCATGGGATGCACTAGAGAGATTGATGGCCAATCTCTGGGCACCTGATAATCCTGATGGCTTGTAAGCTTGGTTTTCAACGTGTCCCTGTCATAGCTTGTGTACCGGACACCTTATGCTGACATCTCGAAGGGTCTTTCTCTGTGTAGCTGAAAACACCCTGTTGCACCAACAAGTAGCCGCGCGTGCGAATAAGAACGTAAGATCATGCTAGGCACCGAATGGTAAATCGCTCATCAATTCTGTAGGCCGCGGTCAATACCGACGACCATCTGAGCTATGGAGTGGGCCCACGGGCATCGCCGCGTCTGAAGAAGGCGCTAGTCCCATTCTTCAACTCGGAATTCCGGCCTTCGGAGCCTGTATTGGAAAAGGAGCTACTCGTTCTACCTGGAGTGGCAGCTGTGATTGATGCCTTGACGTGGGCAATCTGCAATGAAGGTCAAGGGATCATTACGCCTGCTCCTTTCTACACAGGATTTAAGCCTATGAGCGCTGTAAGAGCGGGCGGAGTGCTTATCCCTGCACCTTTCAAGAGCGTTGAGGGTTACTATGGCTTGGATGATGTCTTTGATCCTATTTTGAATAGCAAATCATTGGAAAGGACTCTCCTCCAAGCTACTCCAGACGGCGTCACAGTGCGAGCTGTGATGATATCCAAGTATGACTCCCAAAGCTGCGAACACCCGATTGCTATTTGAACTTACGGTATTATAGTCCTCATAATCCACTAGGAAGATGTTATGTGAGTTGTTTCGACTTTTCGACATAAGTTGCATGTACTGATGTTTCAAAGCCTGCGGAGACGATCAGAGAGATTGCACGTTTTTGTGGTCGCAATAATTTGCACCTGATCAGCGACGAGATCTTCGCGTTGTCGGTCTATCACAACGAACAGGCTACAAGTGTAACGCCATTCGTGTCGATATTAGGAGCAGATCTTGATAAGTGCATCGACAGTCACTTGGTCCATGTAATGTACGGTATGGGTAAGGGCTTTGGCGCCACAGGGCTTCGACTGGGCGTGCTACACTCCAGGAATGAAGGCCTCATAGCCGCAGTCTCTAGCATAAGGTACGTTGCACTCTGTTATGTTCGAATGTTAGTTGGATCGAAGTGACACCTACATCTACAGTGTTTTCGGATGGGTTCCTTATGTCGTCCAAGACGTCTGGGCAGATATGCTTGAAGACGAGCTATTCCTGGGCGACTTCAAACTCGAGAATCACAAAGTGCTGGCCAAACACTTTACGATCCTAAGATCGTTTCTGAACCAGCAGAACATTCCGTACTATTCTAATGTGTGAGTATACTTTACTACTGTATACGTGTGTAGCGCTCAACTTCTGAATGTAGGCATGCCGGTGTTTTCCTCTGGGTGGACCTGCGTCGCTATCTTCCTGGAAATTCGGCACCAGAACCGGCGACTTCCGCGGTCGATGCGAACCACGATGGGGAAATAAGGCTTTTCAAGCGCTTGCTTAAGGCGGGTGTCGTTGTTTCTCAGGGAAGCAGTTTCGGTACTGAAGAGCTAGGTTGGTATCGCATCAGCTTCGCCGTGGAAGATCAGGCTTTGAATGTGGGGCTTCAACGATTGGGAAGGTGACTGGAATCCATTGAAAGTGACGGCTGGGAGACTTGAAAGCTGGAGGAGTCTATAATTTCGTATCTGTTAAGAATATGTTAGGTTCAGTCCAGGTCGGCGAGGTGAGGTTCGTGGAGTAAGCCCGAGCAGAAGGACCGACGCGGAATGATGATCTGTCATGTACGTCCTAAGATCATCATAACAACAAGTAGATAGAACAATAGCTCTTAGTGAAGTTCAATCCAATACAGGGTTACCTTTCGTACCTCTACTCGGTCGCCTATGGTAGTCATACCACCAGAGGAGACCTTGTTCTAACAGGTTATGAGCCCGGTTGCCTAACCCAACGTTATTGTTTTCAAACACCTACCCGAGTCACGAAGGACTCAGATTCAAGAAGGAATCAAAACATCCACCCAAGTCACGAAGGACTTAGATTCAAGAAGGAATCAGAAAAGAAAAGAAGTCGTGTACAACGCGGTTAACACGCAATCACACTTAAATACACCGTCTCTACACCCGAGAACCGATAACGACTGCACCGCCCGCAGAATATCACCCGGATCGCCCGGATCGCCCGCATCGCCTGTATCGCCCGCATCGCCCGCATCACCTACACTCTTAGCATCATACCACGTACCTTGCTCGCATAATAGTCTCACCAACTCAAAACACACAAGATGGCTGTAGAGAAGGAAGAATGGAAGATTCCCCAACTTACAGCTGAAAACCACGATACTTGGTTCCGCCGAAACAAGGTCAAGCTTAAGGGGAAGAAAGTCTTCTATGTCTGCGAGAAAAACCTGGTACAGCACTGCCAAATAGCAATAGCCGGTGAACTAACGGAGGCTATGGAAGAGTTGGAAATTGCTGAAGCAGACAAGCATACTAAGATCCGCGTCAACATTGAAAAAAGAGACAAGTACCTAGAAGATGAAGCCACTGCAATCGATCTCTTGTTTCGGTCGCTTACTGAAGATGACCAAGCCCTTATTGACGAATACGACACTGCCTTCCAGTTCTGGGCCTACCTACAAAAGAAGTACACCCAAACTGACGCCACAACCGCCAACATTTACATGACCAGAATTCAAACGTTCACATTCAATCCTGGGAACACAATTGTTGGATCATGGGAAAAGCTAAAGGAATACCGACGCAAACTCGTAGCAGCAGACGCTGACACCAACGGAGCTTACAAGGACTCTGCACTACTACTCGTTCTTATTAGATCACTCCCGAAAGAATTTAAGACTACGATTGACACCTTAAACGCCCAACTTAACCTTACGGTTGAACAGAAACTTAAGTTTCTGGAAGAGAAGGAGGTTCGAGACCAGCAAGACGCCGACGAAAAAGCTCTCCCAGCATTCCGGAAGACGGAGAAGTATGTTCCGCCTTACAAGCGCCGAAATCACAAGAGCTCACCACTATCGTCTGACTCCGAATCTGGTACTAAGTTTATGGTCCAATGCTTCCTTTGTGACGGAGCCCATGGCGTACGAGACTGTCCAAGACGTGAGAGAGCTCGAAAGCTCCTTAAGGAATACGACGCTAAGAAATCATCTAAGCCGCCTATTAAGACACTCAAGCAAAGGAATTCTCACAAAAAGACTGGCAAAGCATATGGAGCCGAAGAAGTCAATTCAGAGTCAGATGAATTATCCGAGACCTCAGACTCTGAACCCGAGGAAATTGAGACATGCCGTCTCTCAAAAGACATTGTCGGTAAGGCCTCTCCATCTACTTGGGCTGCCGACACTGGCGCCTCCTCCCACATGTCTGACCAACCCTCATTGTTTAGACGAATGATCAAGATCAAGCGAAGACTAGTTCGGGTTGGAGGGGGAGAATTATATGCAGACTGGAAAGGAGAAGCTCAAGTGGTGTGTAAAGACGGATCGTCGACATGGTTGTCAGAAGTACTGCTTGTACCTAACCTTGGAGTCAATTTGTTATCAGGGAGAAGAATTTGCGCAGCAGGCCTGAAGGGTCGTTTCAATTCACACGTACTATGCTTCAAACTAGGAAAGGAGATCATTATTAAAGCAACTATGGACGACGGCCTCTACGTAGTGTCACACATTGCCGATGGATACCACGAGACAGCATTCCTAGGCACGGAACCCCATACACCAGTTAAGAGCGAGCTTAAGGTTAATGAAAAGGAGAGATACCTGCTGTATCACAGACGTTTCGCACACCTAGGACCTACAAAGATTGCCAAACTCCACGAAGTTACAACTCTCCAGAAGAAGATTCAAGTTCCAGAGAAGATTGAAATCTGCGAAGTGTGTTCCCTGACAAAGATGAAGAACAGCATCCCTAAGCAGCTAAGAGAGCACAAGGCCACGAAGCTAGCCTTAGTACAGTTTGACATTGCTGGACCCTTTCCAACATCTCTACGAGGAAACAGGTGGTTCCTCCAAATTATTGATAGCTACACGCGGAAAAACTGGGTTATCCCGCTGAAGAAAAAGGGAGACGCACAACGGGAACTCCGAATCTGGAAGACCTTTGTAGAACATCAAACTGGCGAGAAAGTCAAAGCTGCTGGAACCGACAATGCACCAGAACTTCTACAGCAAGCTGAGGAATGGAGAGTTACACAAGGCGTGGAAATTCAGCCTACAACAATTGCTTCCTCACACCAGAATGGACCAGCCGAGCGAAACATCCAAACTGCTGAAGCTGATATGAGAGCAATGTTGAAAGACGCTGGTTTACCAATTGAGTTTTGGGATGAAGCTGTCGAAGCAGACGCATACCTACGCAACCGTACAAACACAGGACCTATGATCAATGGAAAGCAAGTCAGTCCTGAAGAGGCATTCACAGGAACGAAACCATCCATTGACCACATCCGTGTATGGGGGAGCAAATGCTATTCGTACATCAACCCTAAAACGATTCCAGCAGACCAACGACATGACAAGCTCGTGGACCGTGGCAGAATTGGAGTATTTATGGGATATTCTGAGACAACAAATAAGCAGTTCAAGTTCTATTCGCCAGAGCTTGGATACACCTCAAGGACAAGCCGATTGTCAGTGGACGAATACACCCCTGGAGGGAAAGTTGAACTACGACTGCGAAACATACCAGCTGGACCACAAGGAACGCAGAATACGATGCCAGACCGAAAACCAAGAGGAAGACCTAGGAAGGATCTAGAATTATCTCCTGCCGAACGAATGGAACCAACTCCTACCGAACGAATGGAACCATCTCCTGCAGAACCAATGGAACCATCTCCTACCGAACCAATGGAACCATCTCCTGCAGAACCAATAGAACCAGTTTCCGAGAACCTAATGGAACCATCTTCGGCAGAGCTAACTCATGAACCAGTGAAGCGTCACAGAGGAAGACCAAGGAGGCTAACTACTATTCCTCCTACTGCACCATCTGATGAGCGGGTTCCTAATCTTGTGAACGAAGAGGGGCCCGAAGAACCGTGTACCCAGTCTGTACGAGAAAAGGAGATTCCACGATACTTCACTAGACAAGCCAAACGGAAGAGGTCTAACGAAGAGATTGTTGAGGACGAGAGATTTAGCAAGATCGTTAAAGCTATGCTAGCCCAAGTTGGCCTTACAGAAGAGCAAACACGACTATCTGAGAAGGCTTTCGCAGCAACCGAGATCGCAGGAATCCAGATCCCCCAGACACACGAGCAAGCTATCAACGACCCAAAGTATGGAAAGCAATGGAAAGCAGCAATACTTGAAGAGATAATCGCGTTAATAGAGAATCGAACCTGGGAGGAAGTTCCAAAGCCAAAAGACGCGAACATGGTTGATTCAAAGTGGGTTTTTACAGTCAAAACGAATCTCGACGGGACTGTTGAGAGGTTTAAGGCACGCCTTGTGGCAAGAGGTTTTACGCAAGCACACGGAACAGACTACAACGAGACTTTTGCCCCGACAGTCCGCATGGACACCTTACGTCTGTTTATGGCCACTGTCGCAGCGGAAAACCTGGAATGTTTCCACTTTGACATTAAGAATGCATTCACAGAGTCGCACTTGAAGGAAGAGATCTTTCTTAAGCAACCCCAAGGAGTAGAAGTCAAAAAAGGATACGTCCTTAGAGTTCTCCGCAGCTTATACGGACTCAAACAGGCTGCTCGCCAGACTCCGCAACAATCAATCGATTGACATGATTGATTCCTATATAGGTTAAAGAATTACTTCATTAGGCAGCCTTTAACCTAGATAGGAATCAATCATGCCGATCCGATTGATTGTTGCGGAGTCTGCTGCTCGCGACTGGAACTTGTTGATAAAGAAAGAACTTCTGGCATGGGGATTCGTACAAAGCCTCGCAGACCCGTGCATGTTTATCCACAAAGAAAAACAACTCCGTATCCTCGTCTACGTTGATGACATTGCTGCTGCTGCAAAAGATCGAGCTCAAATTGATTGGTTCTACGAGAAGCTTTCTGGAAGATTCAACACCAAGAACCTGGGGGAGATTCATAAGATCCTTGGAGTACGAGTTACGCGAGACAGAAAGCGCCGCACAATCTACCTCGATCAAGAGCAGTACCTACACGCAGTACTTGACAAGTTTGGAATGTCTAGCAAACAACACAGAGACAAGAAGATTCCATCTGCAGATTACACTTCATTTAGGCCAGCCACTGACAACGACACCCGAATCGACATCACTGAATACCAGCAAGTGATAGGGAGCCTTATGTTTGCTATGGTTCTTACACGTCCAGACATTGCATTCACCCTCGGAAAGCTAAGCCAATACATGAGCGATCCAGCAGAACACCATGGCCATGCGTTGAAGAACCTGCTACGATATCTAAGGTCGACAGTGACATTGAAGCTACGCTACGGACCAGGGGGAGTACACTCGCAATTTGTCATCTACTCTGATGCTGACTGGGCAAGCGACATGGTAGACCGAAAGAGCGTTTCAGGGAGCACTGCAATGTTCTACGGAGGTCCAATATCATGGTCTAGCAAGAAGCAACGGTCTGTTGCAACGTCAAGCTGCGAATCTGAATACATCGCACTATCAACATGCTGCAAGCAAGGCCAGTGGATTGCTCAAATGTTTAGAGATCTTGGGTTCCCAAAGTACATTGGAAAAGACACCAACAAGGTCCAGATGCTAGGAGACAACCAGGGTGCCATTGCACTTACAAAGAACCCTCACCTTCACGAAAGATCAAAGCACATCGACGTCTGTTATCATTTTATCCGAGACCTAGCAGAACAAGGCAAACTCGATGTGGCCTACGTTCCAACTGCAGACATGGTGGCTGATGGAATGACAAAGCCATTGCAGCGAGTCGCATTCGAGAGATTCAAGAACCAATTAGGAGTTGTCCTTGGACCGGACCTGCCCTGAGGGGGAGTGTTAAGAATATGTTAGGTTCAGTCCAGGTCGGCGAGGTGAGGTTCGTGGAGTAAGCCCGAGCAGAAGGACCGACGCGGAATGATGATCTGTCATGTACGTCCTAAGATCATCATAACAACAAGTAGATAGAACAATAGCTCTTAGTGAAGTTCAATCCAATACAGGGTTACCTTTCGTACCTCTACTCGGTCGCCTATGGTAGTCATACCACCAGAGGAGACCTTGTTCTAACAGTATCACTATTACGATACGTCGCATTGGAATGCATTTTAATAGGGCCGCGTTAATAGCTCACAACCCTAGGCATACACCATGTCGATCCTGAGAAACTCCAGGCTGATGGCGTGTCGATCTTGTTGCTTGAACTTGCGCTTACCAAAATAGGAAGCCGTCTACCTGCAATCAAGCTTTGCCAATCAACAATAAGCTCTTGATATCTAGCGGTAACGGGCTTGGCTTAATCCGGAAGCTTAATTGATCATTGGCCACCTTCGCATAGGATGAGCGGCTCTGGTCAAATGAAATTGCTGAACGTAATTGGTAGAAGGCGCTGGCTTCTCGTGCGCATCGGGAAGGTCGGCGGCGGGATCGCGACCTAGTTGGGCAGGTACGAAGACTACGAATAATCGCAACTACACACAATTGTATGCAATATGAACAGCCTATTCGCCTACTGCCTGGGTTTACATTCCATCCTCCCACTCGCTTCTTTGGCTTGCGGTTGCAACTGCTATCAATATGTTCGTTTTCAAGAGCCTGTCCGTGGCTGTTGCCGTGGCCGTCTTTGCTGTTGCACATCCAACATCACATCTTGACTTCGAGAAAAGCATCGTAGAGACGCTGAAAGCAACACCTTCGGGGTGGATCAAGGATGCTTCCGAAGCGGTGGACAAGGATGCGACTTCCATCACGCTCAAGATCCACCTCGTCAACAAAGACATGGACAAGTTCCATGAGCACGCCATTAATGTGAGTTGTCATAGTAGCAGAATTGATTTCAGATTTTTATTGATTCCTTGTACAGATCGCGACACCTGGTCATAATTTATATGGCCAGCACATGTCTCATGAAGACATTCTGGCCATGGTCGCCCCAGCCGAAGAGTCTGCTGCCCTCGTCATGAAATGGTTGGAAAATGAGCTCTCGGGTGTAGGTAAAAAGGTGTCACAAAGGGGCGATTATGTCACCGTTGAGGCGAGCGTCAAGGAGATTGAGCAACTTCTCGATGCGGAGTACAACGTTTTCGGTAATTTTCCGCCAATAGGTGACATTCACTTCTCTAACCTTCACAGTCAACTCTGGTAACAAAGAAAAGACCTTGCGCACACTCTCTTACAGTCTCCCCAAGTTTTTGAAGAGCCACGTCGATATGGTACAACCAACTACCTTCTTTGGCCTCAAGCAGCTCAAGTCGACCATTTCTGAGCACCATCTTATCACTGAAGAAGACGATGAAGCTCATATTGAGTCCGCCGCGGCAGTCACAGGTTGTACAGGTACTCGCATCACTCCCACATGTCTCGCGACCTTGTACAACTTCGCCAGCGCAAAGGTACAGACGGTAGGTCTCTTGGGCATTGCCGGCTTCCTCGAGGAATACGCAATCAAATCAGATTACACTTCCTTCCTCAAGAGCTACGGATTTTTCACCAACAAATTCAAGTCCTTCACATGCACTACCATCAATGGCGGTTCCTGTCCTTCTTCTCCTGCCGGCACCGAAGCCAACTTGGATGTCCAATATGCAGGCTCAATTTCGACGTCGGTACCCAACACCTACTACAGTATAGCTGGACGTGGACAGTTCCTTGGCTCAGGATCAAATACAAACGAGCCGTATATCGAATTCCTACAATACGTCCTCGCTTTGCCCGATCCGTCGCTCCCAAACACACTCTCCATATCATACGGCGACGAAGAAGCGACCGTCCCACTTTCATACGCGACCAACGCCTGTAACCTGTTTTCGCAACTAGGTGCTCGCGGTGTTTCTATCCTCGTATCTGCCGGCGACTCGGGCGTAGGCGATACTTGCACCGTTGGCGGCAAGCCCCAGTTCACTACAGCCTTCCCAGCCGCCTGTCCATGGGTTACCACCGTCGGCGGTACCACAGGAAATTCTCCCGAAGTTGCCTGGTCGGGCGGTGGTGGTGGCTTTTCTGAGATCTTTGGGCGCCCGAGCTACCAGGATGCGACCGTGAGTAAGTGGTTCACAACGGATACTACTCACGCGGGTGTGACAAAGTACTTCAATGCCTCTGGACGCGCGTACCCGGATATCTCTGCGCAGGCGACGAACTTTGTCATTGTCGTCGGAGGCTCAGCTACGTCGGTGTCTGGAACATCGTGCTCTGCACCGACCACAGCTGGCATCATTCAGTTGCTCAACAGCGGGCGCATCGCGGCTGGAAAGAAGGGTCTTGGCTTCTTGAATCCATGGTTGTACAACACCGCGAGCACCGGCTTTACTGATATCAAGAATGGTAAGATTACAGGATGTAGTGGAAGCATCTCGGGAGCTGGATTCAACGCAGTCGCGGGATGGGATCCTGCGACGGGGCTAGGGACACCAAACTACGGCACGCTTCTTGGATTTGCGACAAGCACTGCGTAGGTATGACTATTACGAATGTATAGATGATATTACACTTATAAAGAGTAACTTTTCGTATATATACTAGTGGCTATGATTGCTGCAGCAATTGCTATATTTCGAGCTATTGAAAGTTATTTCTTGAAAGAAAGCACCATACAAGCCGCTACAGCGATTATTGGTTGAGACAATCGAAGCAGGACTGAACGCTGGAGAGCTCCGACTGCTAAGAGAAGGCATAGGGGAGGGCTCCGGTCCAGAGCCAGTGCCACACAACGACTGGTACCCAGTCTCGCAATAGTTCTTTGTGTGACTGCACCAACCGTATTGACTGATGACTTTTAGCGCGTGGAAATCGTATATCGAGAGACGCTCGACTTACCTGCAGCAATCTTCATAGCAAGGCCCTAGGCGTGCAGCCCCTCCATGATCTTGGCATCGTCCATCTTGGGAATGGTTGGCGATGGCGGCTTGAATTCGTCAGAGTCGTCGGAATCGCAAAAGCACCAATCATCATCACCACAACAACTGCTTATCGATCTACAGTAGTCATTATGAGGGCAGCAATTGCCGAAAGAACTACTACCGCAGGTCATGCCAAACCATCAGTCATACTTAGCGATTAGTTCGTCTAACAGTCAGATTAGTCTAACCAACGATATGGGCTTGAAAATAGCAAGCTTCCCAGACAGCTACCTATCCGATAGAACGAGAGATCATAGCAATACTTCTGAGTTGAATAGATGCTATTGACATCCACGATCTATCAGACGTTTTATCATCATCGCGGTGCATCTCACGTCACTCAAAGCCTCACCGCGACCTCTGCATGTAGTAGTCGGTCACAACCTTCCAGGCCTGTTTCCATCTTTGCGCACGGTCACATACCTCAGAGCCGTCTCATGCAAATTCACTATCACGAGCATGACTAAGACCTTCGAGGCCTATTTCTATTTTTTCTCACGCTTATACACCTTATAGTGGGGTCACGAAAGCCTCAAATCTCAATCGGGAAGTTGGACTAAATTATCACGCGCCCGATTAAGTTAGCGCAATGCGTTGTGACATGAGACCTCAGCCTCGTATGCTCAGTAAGCCAGAAGCATTATCCTACAACTTCGTTTTTGTCGAATTTGGAAGTCAAAATTGGTGTTTTTCCGAGAGTTCTTACCGTCACCAGTTCGAAATGAGGTATAAAGGTTCGGCCTGCCGCGCTCAACAATCTGCATCCAACAACAGCAACAGAAACAGCAACGACAACAAACTTCCAAAACACTCTTCGCCATGCATTTCAACAACATCTTCCTCGTCGCCGCTATCAACATCGGCTTCGCTGCTGCCGGCCAAGTTAACTTTTATTCGGACAAGAACTGCCAGAACTACATTGGCGAAGCTCACCCTGGCATCGGCCAAGTCACAGGGTAAGCTATCTTACCTGCCTTCCCCCTAGATCCACGTTCCGTCTCGACTATGACCCATTTTCAATAACTAACATTCCCTAGTGGCCCCGCAGGCAGCTTCTCTGCCCTCTGGGTCAACGGCGACCTGTGGTCTTGCACGCAGAGCTGCGGGCCGTACTGGATCTGCGGCGACTCAGGCTGCAACAATAAGGTGTCTAGGGCGACGGGCCAATGCGTTAGCTTCAACACGGGCGTTTGGGCGGTGAATAAGTGCCAGTTCTGTTAGACTTGCGGGGGCCGGGTGTATCGCAGGGTCAAACAGGACAGGGAAAGCATCAAAGAGAGTGTTGATAACTATACGCGCCGAGTTCTTAGATGATGGTAGCGAGTCTTATTATAAGCGCTAGATAAGAAGAAACCGCATACCTAGCTTAAAACAGCTTAGCTGCAATCTACCGCTGCCGAGGCTCACCACCTTACGACCCCTCACAACACTACCAACTGGTCCCCACTTTCTTAATCTCTGTTCGTAAACTATGATTTGTGGATTCATTTATCCTTGATTATGTTTCGGAACATCGAAGTTATGAGTGGGCTCCAATCCTCCAACGTCCACGCTAAATCTGCGGGGTTCGTGTTGTAACTATACCTGAAACGCTCGCGAGAGTGATCACCGCCGGGAAAACTATTACATGTTTGTACTGGACATCTACCACAAGAAAACAAACGTGTGTTCATGAAGATGCTTCATTGAAAACATCCTTCGCATCTCTCGGCGACGGCTATCAGTGTTAAAACCGTCAACTAACATAAGAGAAGTCCTGCGAGCGGAAGAAACGATGTAGTGCTTACTTTGAATGGTGTCTCGTTTGTGTTCTGCCGAATACGGCCAGTACGCTGATCGCATATTACGACGGAGAAACTGTCTGTAGTACTAAGTAATCAATTTCCGCCCTATATATAGGATAACAAGGTCTGGGTATGTTGTGTGCGATCTTTCATATTCAACCCCCTTTTGGTTTGACGTTCCAACTCAATTTACAATACCATCTCCAGTCTACTGAGAGTCACGCCATGGTAGCTTCAAAGCCCAGGACGATATTTGGGGGCCTCGCTGCCTTGCTTCCCACTGTGCTGTATTTCGGAACACTACTCAACGGAGTTGGACTGGTGAGGGCCGACAATCCTATTGTCCAAACGATCTACACTACGGACCCAGCACCTATTGTCTATAACGACCGTGTCTATGTCGTTACTGGCCATGACGAAGATGGATCTACAACTTACAACATGAAGGACTGGCACCTCTATTCGACGGCGGACATGGCAAATTGGCAGGATCACGGGTCGCCAATGAGTTTGAAAACATTCAGTTGGACTAATGCAAACGCATGGGCCGGACAGATCATCCAACGAAATGGAAAGTTCTACTTCTACGCTCCAATGCGGCGCACCACTGGAACCATGGCTATTGGCGTAGGCGTTGCCGACAACATCACCGGACCATACCGTGACGCGATCGGCAAGCCATTGGTTGATAACAACGAAATCGATCCGACTGTCTTCATAGACGACAATGGCCAGGCGTACCTGTACTGGGGAAATCCAGGTCTCTCCTATGTGAAATTAAACCAAGACATGATATCCTATAGCGGAGGTGTCAACCAAGTCCAGCTCACGACTGCTGGATTTGGCGTTCGGACTAAGAGCAGTGCAACAAGGGCCACCGCATATGAGGAAGGACCATGGTTCTACAAGCGCGGCGGACTATACTACATGATATACGCAGCCAACTGCTGCTCCGAGGATATTCGTTACTCCACTAGCACCAGTCCTACTGGTCCCTGGACCTATCGCGGACTGATTATGGCATCAGCGGGTGCGAGCTTCACCAACCACCCTGGCGTGGTCGATTACAAAGGCAATTCATACTTTTTCTACCACAATGGTGCCCTGACTGGGGGAAGCGGTTATACACGATCAGTATCCGTAGAACGCTTCGTATACAATGCCGACGGGACTATCCCTACCCTTACAATGACAACGAGCGGCCCGCCCCAAATCGGTACCGTGAACCCCTATGTTCAACAGGAGGCAGAAATGATCGCCTGGGAGTCGGGCGTAGAGACCGAGGTTTGCAGCGAAGGCGGCATCGATGTAACGTCCATTAACAACGGAGATTACATAAAAGTCAAAGGTGTCTCATTTGGCACAGGAGCCAAGTCCTTCAGTGCAAGGGTCGCGTCGGCGGCCAGTGGTGGCAAGATTGAGCTGCGTCTGGGCAGTACGACTGGAACCCTTGTCGGCACATGTACTGTTTCTGGAACGGGCGGATCGCAGACCTGGACCACGGTCACTTGCCCTGTTAGTGGTGCTACGGGCACTCAAGATCTGTACTTTCGTTTCACCGGCAGCGGCAGCGGCAGCCTTTTCAACTTTAATTGGTGGAAATTTGCACAGTAGTTAATGAATAGTAGTATCGCTACAATTGATACATATTTTAGCTATAGTGCCGTAGTAACGCTGTCGTTGTTGTGTGGATGCCTGCACCCGTAACACTCAATGCTTCATGCTGCATCACCTCTTAAATCATTTCGCTTCTCTTAAAGCTTGAGTTGAGTAGCTCTTCAAAAACAGTGCGGCGTCCTACAGACTCCTAGGCGTCGTTTTCGCCATCCATGATTCGTTGGACCTGGGTTTTGACTTCCTGTAACAGGTTAACGGAGTGTATATTACTAGAGACGAGCAACCTATATGGTGAAATTCAAACACACGTTTCGTCTTAGGATCAAGCATAACAATGACCCGTTCCAGCAGCCTCTGAAGCCACTTTGCTAGGGTCGGAATACTCATTGCAAAAGAGATTGAGCATGAGAGGTTGTGGACAGCCTTCGTAACTGGGGCCTCAAACCCTAAATAGTCTAAGAAATTTTAGAATAAACCATAGATGTACCAGGGGAGTACGTCAGCCAGATAGGCATCCCAAGCCTCGTTTATACAGACTACCTTTCCGGTCCCCTTATACTGCGTCCAAAGAATAGTGCATAGCTTCTTCATTCGAGAGTTGGTATAAGAGCTGAAGTCTATGATCTATCGTCTAGTAAAGAAAGTAGCAACAGCTGACATGCGGTGGCGATGACAGTCGTGCTCGATTGCGTCAATTATGGCTTTTGGGCGTGAAAAGGCGATGTGATAAATACAGCATCTTGTTAGTATTTGACTTAGCAATATAAAGCTTAGTAGGGAACTTTGCATTGCGAATGTGGGTGAGAGACGCAGATGAATAATTAGGTCTTCTCATTTAGTATCAACATGGATATTCTCAGGTCACTAGTATCATTACCTACCATATTTCTCATGCTATTCTTTAATCTCAAAGATGAACTTTCTACCTCTTACCAGATCCTAATGTGTCTTAACCGGAAAGGTAATAACATCCATAATCTGATTTTAGCGTTGGTAGAAAGACTTTTAAGGTGTTAGAGAAAATGACTGTAGAGGAAATTGCCAATGACTACCTAGTAATGTCCAATAGGGTATTACTAGGCTTAAGAAATCTTCCTAGCAAATGCATTGAAGCTCTATATAGAGTAACATAGAGTCAACGTTAAGAAAGGCTGGGATTGACGACGGAATTGGCGTGAATCAACTTAGGGAAACCAAGCTGGTTAGGGTTCCTACTGCAAGGACAGATTTTGATGTCTATCAGATCTTCTGGTATTTTAGGGGCCTATTCTAGAATACATGCAGGCTGCAGCATCGTTATTTAACCAGGGATGTGGCTGTGTGATGGTGTGAAGCTGCTAGCGGGCTGGCAAGTGAATCCTGTCTGTGCTACGCTGACTGGATGCATGCAGATTACTTCATCATGCAACTTAATTGCATCCCCTCTGCGGGATTCGAGGCACACAGCCCAGCTCATTTCCAACACCGATGTAGCACTCGATTCGTGTTTTCCAATATAAACGCCCGGACCGAGAAAATTGCCTGCGGTGCCGGCTGAGGCTTAGCGCTTCCCTTTGGAGTTACGGCAATTTTAGAGCTGCTGATTACAGGCCTTCGGTAACAGCTTCCAGTACGAAAGTTTATGAAAAGCCTGCGAAGACATGATTGGACCAGCGATCCTGTAGCCGAAGGCTGGGTCTTCTACGCCGCATCAGTGCGAGTTGCGGTCGCTGATTCTGCTTAACATTTAGATATCACTTCCATCCCATCTACGAGTTGGCATGTAATGGCGGCTTCTAAATCCTCCCTCGATAGGCCCTTGACGCCAAAAAACGCCTCTGCAAGTGCCGAACCCGCGGACGCAGACGCGAAGAAGGATCTATCCGTCTTGAACCCGGTACCTAACCACAAATGTGTCACCGGATTTAAGCTATACATCATTGTGGCTGCTGTCGCCTTTGTCGGCTTCCTTATGCTCCTAGACAACATGATCGTCAGCACGGTAGGAGGCGCCTCCTCGGGTAGAAGTTGATGCATGCTAATCGTGCTACTCAGGCCATCCCGCGCATCACTGACGAATTCCATTCCCTCGCAGACGTCGGCTGGTACGCCAGTGCATACCAGTTTGGAAGGTATGCGTTACTATACTTAAACAGAAACGCAAATGCCTAACATTGCTATTCGTTCAGTTCAGCGCCGCGGCCTTTGACGGGAAGGATATACAAATACTTCAACACGAAGGTTCGTGACATTTGTGATTTGTTCATGTTTCGAGCATTTGACTTATCGCAACAGTGGACGTATTTGGTGTTCTTCATCATTTTCGAAGTGGGATCAGTCATATGTGGCGCCGCGAATTCGTCTGCTATGTTTATTGTAGGTCGATTTATTGCCGGCTTTGGTGGTGCGGGCGTCGCGACCGGATCAATCACGATCATTTCTGTTGCGGTTTGTGAGGCAAGGGTATTGCGCATGTCACATGTGTTGTCCTGGCGCTCCTCCCTCCCCTCCATGAGCACCTTCTCCTCTTACCAGCATCAGAGATACGTCATGTAAATAGACCCTGATTATGGCTACATATAAGGTGGCCATGACAGCACAACAAGACAAGATACACAATATACTCTGATGACTGCCTCGCGCGGTTACACTTTGATTGACTGCATTCACTGCAACAATTTCGCTGTGCGCGCCTCTTGAGAAACGCCCATGTAAGCGAAGCCTATTATGATGTCGGGTCGTCTACTCACGCTTTTGGTCAGCTCTGATAGGATTAACCTTGGGATGTAAGCTGTAAAACGCGCTTCCGTTCAATCGCCGCCGCTCTTGCTAACTCACAATGAACAGTCAACCTTCTTGGACTTGTTCTGGGACCTCTCATCGGTGGCGTATTCACATCCTACACAACATGGCGCTGGTGTACGTCCCTTCTCCTTCCTAGCTAGCCCAGAGCTGACTGATGATGCTAAGTTTTTACGTGAACCTGCCAGTTGGCGCTCTTGCAGTGCTCGGCATAATTCCCCAACGCATTCCTGAAGAGAAGATTAAGCCGAACCCTTTGTCTCTGCTACCGCGGATACATCATTACCTCGAGCTCGTAGGTTTCGCTCTCCTAAGCGCCTGCCGTTCTGCAACTTCTCCTCGCTCTTCAATTCGGAGGCTAAGCTCATCCATGGAACTCAGCAGTAGTGATCGGTCTACTCTGCGGGTCCGTGGCAAATTTTATTGTCTGGGGATTCTGGAACCGATACCGTGGGGAGGTCGCAATGATGCCCCGCTCGATGATAAGCCGGAGAGATGTCTTGTTCTCTGGGCTTTTCGTGGCTTTTCTCACATCTGCGGTCTACGGAGGCATCTATTATCTTCCGTTGTATTTTCAAGCTGTGAATGGCGCAAGCGCAATCAAGAGTGCGGTGTATCTCCTTCCGTTGATCATCTCACAGCTTATAATGGCTGGACTCTCGGGTGCCGTCGGTAAGTCAACCGCATGTCTAAAGATCTGACAGATATCATGAAAGCTGACGAGCCGCCGGCAGTAACCAAGATCGGTTACGTAATTCCAGTAGCTGTCTTTTCGAATGTCTTCCTCTCGATAGGAACCGGCCTATACTCCCTCCTTCAGCCTGGCAGCTCAAGTGGCAAATGGATGAGACCAACGGATATGCTCAATAGAATCTCCATTTCCGGAAGCGCACTCTCATCAAGCTCGGTGTCTTCTGTTTCAATACCCAGCGCATGACGGAGTTTTTCCAGGGTTAGAGGTCTTTGGGCGCAGAATATGTAGGCAAGTGCTTTCTTGACCAGCTGCCTGTCTTCTTCGAAATAATCTTCGATTCGCGTCAAGGCCTTCTCGTAGAAGTCGTATATCTTAGTTGAGAGAGTGTTGAGACATTGGCGTACTTTCTTCGGGCTTGCCATTTGACAGATGTACGCTACCTGGAAATGTGCTACCAAGAACCTGGACCCAAGGTCAGTAGTTGACAGAAATGGTATGCTCTTCTTACAGATCTTACATTCCCTCGGCTTTCTTGATGATTATATCGATGATCTCTGCTTTCAGAGTAGTATCTCTAGCGATGAGCCGCGACATTCTGTTGTTGGTACTGATTTCAGACTCTAAATATACCTGAATGTCGGAATGGCTGGCGACAATTTCAATGTGAGACAGGTGAGGAAACGTTGAATGAAGCTCGAGATTTGGACGAGAGGTTATGAATAGATGAACGGAAGGTTCCAGCATTTGGAGCATATGGAGGAATTCGTTGCGGTTCTGTTCGGGACATTCATCCTAGAATCCTGTCAGCGATCTAGAACTAGAATGGAAGAAGCAGCACCTACCAGAGCATCAACAAAGATGTATGTTCTTGTGAAGTGCGAGGCAACTTCCTCGATCAGGGACACTCTTTCCTCTTGGGTTGGATAGCTTCTCTTCTCGATCCATCTATCCCGATATGTCTTGACCTCCTCGGATATGGGATGAATTTGCTCTACCAACTGGCGAGTGAGGCTACAGATTAGCTCAACCTCTGATTGCAACTTGGAATCTGTATAATCGCAGTATACATATGCAAGCGCAACATTCCTCCGCGCAGTGTGATCCTCGATGTGATTGACAGCTACCGATCTATAAGATGAAATCAGCGCATTGCGTGGAGTAAGATATCACTTCCCACTAGGTCAAATTACTTACGTCATGACTGATTTCCCTGCACCGGCTTTATTGAATTATTAGCCTAATGGTCCACACGAATCGAGATGAGAAATAGAGCTTACGGATTCCGGAACACCAAAGAGTGGAGCTATGTGTGCCGTTAAGCCATCTCTGGAATTTGTCTTCATTCAGAAACCAATCGCCAGTCCCGTCGCAGTGTCTGCTATGTATATTGTGGTGTAGTAGCTTGTCACGTGTTCGGCGTTAGGTAATCGGCGCTAGGGTTGAGTATTTTAGGACGACTCCGCGTAGAGGAGCTCGACAGTTATCGTACACCATTCTTAATACTACCGTTTATTGTTCGGATACCTTCTTGTTCTCTACTCTCTACCGATTGCGGGTCGGCAGCCTCTCTTCTGACTATTGAGGCTATCCCTCTACCACATTTTTGGTGACCTAACCAGGGGGACACGACGGTCTATCGGTGGAGTAGTAGAGAAACCTCTTTGTTTTACCTGTTTTCGAGGAGAAGTCGGAGGGGCAGAGACCCACGACGAGTTTTCGGGGACCCCATTGAACTCTGAGCGCTTCTCGATAAAGTTTGCCAAGGCGGCGGAACTCTCGGGGAGTCTCTACGGTGTCAGCGGAGCGGTGTGGTAACCTGCAGAAGGACTGCAGAACCGGCACAACGTACAGCCGAATAGGAGTAGGCGAGAGCGTAACGCCCAGTGCTAAGGAGGCACTTTCACCAAGGCGGTGAAGGGACATCGGAAGAGAGGGAAGGAACCTGTCTCAGAGAGGCAATCGGGAGTCCGGAAGCAGCGGATCTGTATTCAGAACAAGAGAAGAGGAATAACGTTTAGTGTCCAAGACACAGTCAGAGCAGGTCTCTTTTATCGAATAATATGCCGTCCGAGACGTCTTCAGCACAGAGCGAGGAGCCTGTGTCAATCCTAATGGCAGAGCCTGGACAACCTGCAGCCCGTGACTCTTATCGTCAGTACCTAGGCAAGCTAGAGCCTCACGATGTGCACGCGCCACGCTTTGATGGAGAGAACATTTCAGAGTTCTTAGACGAGTACGACTTCGAAGCTGATCGAGTGGGCTGGCCAGAGGAGCTTCGGAAGAAGCAGCTACCATACTTCTGCACACAAAAGTATAAGGCGTTTATCCGAAAGTTGCCAAGCTACTATGGGATAGAGAGCTACCAGGAGTACAAGGAGGAGCTTCGAGAGCTGTATGCGGGGCAGGATGAATTTCGGCAGAGAGGTACCCGAGCGTTCATCGAAAACTACGTGAAGGAGGTGCAGCGACGACAACCTGCGGTCCGAATTGTCGAATATTACCAGAACTTTGTGACCTACTTTGCAGCTGCGGAGAGCCGAGGACAAGTCGCAAAGCTTGAGAAAGGACACTTCTTCTTCCGGGGCCTGGCTATAGAGGACATGGAGCGAGTAATGCACCACATGCCGAAGGATGATCGGCCGCGTCTAGACGACGTCACCTCGTTCAAGATTGAGAAGATCTACCAGTTTGTCCGTGAGCACCAAGCGCAAGAGGAGGGGTTGAGTGCCCTATACTCTGACTACAGTTCGACAAGCCGGAGACTAGCCCGCCGCGATGCAGGAGTAGTAGAAGAGTCTATCCCGACATTCAAGAGACCTTCAGAAGCCCCTCGGCAGAGTGTTCCGGGGATCCTTCCAATTGCTGCTCAGCCCGACAAGGCAGCTGCTCCGAAAGTTGATCAGGCTGTGGAGGATCTAATCCAGCGTTTCCAAGGACTGTCGATGACTATAGAACAGTTCAACGAGATGGCTGAGGGCAATATTGGGATCCGAAGACTGTTCGCTAAGCCAGAGAATTACGCAGAGGCCTACAAGCAGCTTGTGCTAAGACCCCACCGGGTAAGCACGGAGATACTAGAACGCAATGACGGGAGCTTCAAGTCAATCTACCCACCAATAGTCAACCCGCAGGCAGGCGTACATTACGCAGGCAACCGAGAGCCGCAGCGTGCTCGCTGCAGGTGCTGTGGCAGAGAAGGGCACATTATCGCGAATTGTCCGGACCAGAACCTTCTGAAGAGTAATCGGTGGTGCCACACCCGGAGCGAGGAGCAACCGAATGGCTGGAAGCAAGTCCGGTACTACTTCGGACCCTACCCGACAGACATCTGGGGCATGTTCCCTGGCGGAGGCATTGCGCCGAAACCCTTTGGGAGTGAGGTTCTCGAGTGGCTACTTCAGTCTTTAAAGGAGCGTTTCAAGGTGACCGATGACCAACTAAAGCGGCCCATGCAAGAAGTTCTCCCAAATTGGTTCGACGCAGCAGGAAGGCCTATTAAGGTTGAAAAGACTGGTAACAGCGGCGAGAGCTACACAGTAGAGTCAAGCGAGGAAGCGGAGCTGATGGCGAGGCAAACGATGGCCCTTCGGTCAGCTGCGCAGTTCCTTGAAACCGTGTCTTGTAGAGTACTGCACCCCGAAGACGACTCGGAAGTCAACGCCATAGATGGGCGCACGAAGGCTGGTCGACTGGCGAAAGAACAGCGGGAGCGTGAAGCTCGCCTTGGTAAGAAGCCAGGCATGCCTCGGATGAAGAGCAGTCGGACCGCGAGCAGCTATGAAGACATGGACGTCGAAGAGGAGCCAGAGGTGCTAAGGCATAGAGCCCAAGTAGAGATCGACGACTCCCAGGTGCCTGAAACTCAGGTTCAACAACGTCTTGACACTCCGATAAGCAACGGGACGCGCGAGAGAGACAGTCGGAGCGCCACAGTGGACCACGATGTTATACCTGCACCAGCGCCTGTTCCGAAAGCCTCTCGAGCCTTCGCACCTGTGACCATACCGACGACCGAAGACCTTGCGGCGATGGCCCAGAACACAGCACCGACGGTACTTGCAAAGGCAATGTTAAACCAGGAAGTCCGCGGGATCCGGCAGCTCGATTTATTAGCGTCTCCCGAAGTAGCTGCGGCAGTGACCAAAGCACTCGAGGAAGCGCGTAGGCCGCGTGTGCACTTTCAGGTTGACGAAACGCGCTCAGGAGAGACAATGGAGATCCAACAAGCTAATAATAATAAATCTGATGACGAAAAAGCTGATAGTGATGAAGATGGTTCGATAGAAGAGGCAGTCCAGCGATTATATGACTGGGGTTCTGGAGATACTTGTGTGGTGGAGACTGAGAGCTCTCAACCGGAGGTTATTACGAAAGGTATTCTGACGCAGCTGTGTCCGAAGATGGATCGCAGCCGAAAAATTGACCGAGTGGGAGTCGGGGAAGCCAATGAGCTCCACGATTTCCAAAACTACGAGATTAGTGACGAGGAAGACGGCTACGTCGAAGCGCAATCGAGAATGCCCTCCGAAGCGCGACTAAAGGGCGAGTTACAGCAGCAGCGGTATTCGGTGAAAGGACAGTTGCCGACATGCTGGGTGTCTCTCCACGGTGGTATGGGTCGAGCGCTTATTGACACGGGCTCGCAGCTGAACGTTATGCGGCTTTCGACAGCGAGAGCGCTGAATGTCTACATTACTGAGCTAGATCAGTCGGGTCTGCCTCCCGAATTGCAGCAGGGCATGATAACCGCCGATGGAGGGATGGACCCCTTTGTAGGCACAGCTTATTCGGTTCCAATTGCAGTTGGAGGGATTATAGTGCCAACGCACTTTCGGATTGTGAGACGTTTACGGAGAGCAATTCTTCTTGGGACACCATGGTGCGCAACGGCGCGTCTCCAGATACAGTTCGACACTGTTGGTCGGACACTTTGCTACATCAAGTCGATGGACGGTCGGCGTGAAGTTTCTTTTATAGGGTGTGACCCAGCGCCTACAGCCAACGCGGCGTCGATTGAGCATCAGGGAAAAGGATAGCGAGCGCGCTTACTGGGGAAGTGTGCTCGGCGGAGGAGTATTGCCCAGAACTTATACCGAGTGACATGCGGGTAGCGCGCTGGTTTGCGCGCATGCCTGAGTACAGATGGTTGTTCGGGGAAGAGCTGGACCGCCGGGAAGGGGGAAAGTCGGGGCAGGTGTTGTCAGCGGAGGAGCAGAGGTCCTTCGAGGAGATAGTAAGGCAGCAGTTTCGTCTGTCGCGTGACAGGTTATCGGGGGAAGTAAATACCCTGTACAAGAGAGTCGCCGATAAAGTAAAGCCTGTGGACATACCGAGAGAAGACGCACCGATGGATCTCGGGCGTAAGGACTGGAAGGAGCGCGCAATAGCTCGTCAAGCCGCTCGAATAGCACTCAGAGGACCGGACATTAGCCCATTTGATCACCTTTTCTATGTCCGTACAGCAACGTTTCCGAGAGGGCATCGGTTAAACCCGGAGCGTCTTCGAAAGATGAATATTGGCGAAGATCTCCGTCCGAATGAGGTTCACTTAATCCAACAGCTTATGTTCCAGCGAGAGGATGCGCTGGCGTGGGAGTTTCAGCACATGTCGCAAATCCACGAAGATGTACAGCCTCCGTACAAGATTCGGACTATTCCGCACACCGCGTGGCAAGAGAAGAACTTTCCGTTACCAAAGAAGCTTGTGCCGATTGTGAACGCGATGGTGGACGTACGGGCAGAACGAGGGACATTCGAGCATGGCGACGGGTAGTACCGCAATAAGTACTTTCTTGTTCCGAAGATTGAGCGACCAGTTAAACCAGAGGACTTTCGGTTCATTAACAATGCTGTACGATACAACGCCGTGACTTTAAGGGACGCCTATATCCCGCCATCTGCTGATGAGTTCTCGGAGAGGTTCGCAAACAGGAGGACTTACGCTCTGTTTGATCTGTTTTCGGGTTATGACCAGATACCATTGCACACGTCTAGTAGGGACATGACAGCCTTTCAGACGCCAAACGGACTATACCGACAGTGCACGCTCCCGATGGGCGCGACAAACTCTGTGGCGGTCTTTGTTCGGGCGGTGATGAAGATCCTCCACGATCACCTTCCGGAGACAGCGCCTTTTGTAGATGACATTGTAGTGGCAGGGCCTCGAGACGACTACGGAGGAGAGGAAGCTTTCGATGGTGTGCGTCGGTTTGTTCTCGAACATGCTTTGCAGATGGATAAGGTCCTTACGGACATCGCTCGGGCCGAGGCCACAGTCTCAGGAAAGAAGTCGTGGTGGGGAGTTCCCCGAATGGCTATTGTAGGGTATGAAGTTGACAAGAACGGTCGCCATCCTGCGAAGGATAAGGTCCGAAAGATCCTTGAGTGGCCGGAGTGCCGAACCGTAAAAGAGGTCCGACAGTTTGTTGGCATCGTTGTCTACTATCGGCAATGGATCTTTTGTTTCTCGCTGAAAGCAGAGCCGCTCTTCGTGCTCCTTCGAAAGGACGCTAGGTGGATTTGGGGAGACGAGCAGAGGCATGCGATGAAGATTCTGAAGGAAGCGATTACCTCTCCGCCAGCGCTTGTGGCGATTAACTATCGGGGCGGTCTTTTGATTGTCGGCGTGGACGCCTCAGTTCGCGGGGCAGGGGCTCACTTGGAGCAAGTTGGTCCGGATGGCCGTCGCCACACAATAAGGTTTGAAAGCACGCTGTGGTCCGAAGCAGAGTCGAAGCTCCACTCCACAAAGCTCGAGTGTAAAACGCTTGTTTGGGCGCTGAAGGTCTTTCAGGTCCACCTTTATGGACACCCCTTCCGAGTGGAAACAGACGCAAAGGTGCTGATTGCGCAGCTCAATCGGTCGTCTCCAGATTTGCCAGGCTCTGTGATGAATAGGTGGCTTGCGACTATCCTTCAGTGGG